CCACTTTGTTGTTAGTTTTCAAAAACATGTCCTCCATCCATTCTCTGAACCTGTCAATATCTGTACCTGGTGCCCTATATATGCAGCTAATAATCACATTCTTTTCTTTTTCTTTACATAATTCAATTGTTATACATTCCAATAGATTGTCGACCACAGTTGTCATACTCTCTATTACTTTGAACTGTAGATTGATTTGCACATATATGGCAACGCCGCCACCACCCTTGATTTTTTCTGTTAGTGTACCTCAGTTCATATCCTTCCAACTCAAAGTCCATCCCTTTTTCATCAGTACTCCAAGTTTCTGATATTGCGATTATGTTGAATGACTGTGAAAACGACTGTAAATATTCTTTAATGTTATTGAAGTTCGCGTAGAGACTTCTGGCGTTGAAGTGAACAATTGCAAGCTTATCTTTTAATCTAATATGTTGGTTGAATTGTTCTTCGCTGTAGTAACGGCAATTGCTATCAACACTGCAGAAAAAATTATTATCTGGGTCAATATTCCATTCGATATCCTGTGAGTTATGCTCAGTAAATTCAAAGGTGCTCAGTTCCACGTAATCTGTGTTATTTATCCTCTCAGTTAAGTGCAGTGCATTGTTTTCCATCTTCAGAGGTGTAGTCATCCAAATGTTCCGGGAGTTTGCGTGCAGTAAATCAAATCCATAATAGACAAATCGAAAGTAATTATCCATTTTGAATCAAAGGGTCTCCAAGTTAAAGTGCAGTCATTCAATAGAAGATAATCCATACGAACCCAATACGTAGAGTCCGTGGATGAGTCTGTTTGTGGTAAAAGTTCCAGATTGTAGACAGTTTCATCTTCCTTCATAAAAGATGTTTGAAGCATCACTTGAACTGATCAAGATCTTTGAGTTCTCTCACCAACAAAACTTTAGCTTGTTCAGGACCTTGGCCATTAAGCTGAATGAACACCTTACAGTTCCTTGTCCACGTTGCTTTGATCTTGTTGTTTTTCCTCATGATGCGAGCTTCACGAGCGATCTGGGCCGTTTTTTGAGTGAGATGTTCATTCAAATACACCGCTGTGCCTTTCAGCTTTTTCCCTTGGCGCAATAGCTCCGTTTTAAACTTACGGCTCACCAGACGCAGTATAATAGCGGGCTGCGCCTTATCCCTTCTCGGAAGAGTATGACACGCGGCAATATTTTCCGCGGCCAGGTGTATATCCTTATCCAAGAGAAACCGCAGTACTTGCCGTTCCAATGTCAGCAAGTCCGCGGTCTCTGCATTCTCGTCAACACTTCTCCCGTTTGCAGCGGCTTTCGCGTAGGAGCGGGGTTTAACACTAAGCCCACTGATAATAACATCATCCATTCTGGTGTATTGCTCTAAGTTGTCGATTCGTATTTCGAGATCCGTGATAATCTTATCCTTTTCCACAATAGACTGTTTTAGCGTTTTGACTTCCTCGAAAAGTTGAGTGAGTTTAGACAGCTGTAGGGTTACCTTAGCCAGTTCCTCTGACATGCTGTTCAGCGACTTGCGAATTTCCTCCATGTCGGTCTCCACCGGTGTTCCTTTCTTTGGCGGCATCGCCTCCGATACTTCCAATTTTACCGTCAAGTAACTCTTTTGATAAGTGGAAACTTTAATTTTTACCTAAGCCAAAAGACGCCGGTAGCACTGGGCGCGGCCATCTTGGTTGCCAGGTTGTTCCACTTCACGATTGTGTCCCACTTGTTGTTGATTCTTGACAAAAAATTTAACTTTCATATTTTTATGTTTGAAGCCTGAAATGTGGCGAAATGTTGAAAGGTTCAAGGGGGCCGAATACCTTCGCAAGGCACTGTATGTTAACTTGATCACTATCCTCTCCTCTTTCCTACTCTATTTGTCTTCATTATTAGGATTTTGACTGTAGTTTGTTCATTGCTTCATTCACCTGTTGTCCCATTGTCTGTTACATGGCTGCAACTGTGGACTGCCCTACGCAAGCTGCCTGGGAGTTGATCCAGTCCTGCATTGCACATGTCCTCTTTCTACTGCTACATATAGCGATGCCAGGCGGTTGTATAAGAGCACTTTTACAAATGAACAAACTCACATACTGATTGTATTACAGCTCTTGGTTTTTTCCATGTGTTGCTCTTGACCTGTGCAGAAATTCCACAACACATGATTCTTGCAACTTAAACTTTAAGTAGGCAGTAAAAAAATACCTACTTTGTTGTCCTTTTAAATAGCTTTAAAAATAATGCTAAAGACAGCCAAAATAATGGACAGTTTTTCTCTACAACATTTAATAAAACAAAAAAATAACGGTAAGGAAGGAAAGGGAAGGCGGTATTTTTATGAATTGGTGAAGTCTGTAATTAGTAAATTATAGTGAGGGGACTTCTGATGAATTTTTGGTGACAAGCGTTAGCAGCAAAAGTGCTTGTGCTTGGTTCAAAAGCCCTAGAGTGAGTGTGCTCTAAGACCACAGAAATGCACAAATCCAATCCAGAGATAAAACACAGTTTTTAAATAGCAGAAAAGATCTGCATTTTGGAATAAAGAATATAATGTCTATCCTAAAAAAATTTCAAAAGTCTGCGGATCAAATGACTGCATTTGATTTGCCTTAGATTTTATGAAACAGAAATATGTCAACAACCTTCCTCCTCATCTTCCTCCCTCCCTCCTCACCATGATGCGGGCTCAAGAATATAAAAGAGCAAGAGAACGTCTGGACTGTGGCCAGCTCTGGTCTATGGCTCATGCAGACAGGTGAGGGGAGCAGGACATCAGAGTATGTGTCTATATTACTGTCCATGCAATGTACTGCACTCTAGTAATGTGTGCCACTCGATTGTACAATACAACAAAGTACTGGATAATAATGTTTGTGAAGCTAAATTTTGAATCAAGCAGCAGAGCTCACACCATCTCTGCAGTGCTTTTGCTTCTTGATTATTTCTTTCTAATCACTAAGACTATGAATATGCAATGGATAAAGTATACACTTTTTGGAATATATGGTATAATATTTATGTTGCACACTGTGTGTATCAAATGTATCTGCATCATAGAATTCTATGATATATTTCTAACCCCTGTTTCCCTCTGACAGTATGAATTCATCAGGAGACACAACTGGACTTTATCTGGTATGATAACACACATAGTAGGCCTGTTTGTGTTATATCCATCAACCCCGGTGCCACAACTGTGTGTGCAAAGTTAACAATGTTTGCAATTTTGCTCTTTAGTTCTTCATTGTATGTTCATTATTTGAACCAATGAAAAGGGTTTCTCAACATGTTTGCACATCAGTGTGTGTTTAAGTGGAAGTGGCCAAATGATGTCTGAATGTTGAAAAGATTTGTTCTGTTTTTGAGAAGTACTGAAAATGTATTGCGCCCAACTCTTAAAACATTTTGTGTGTTAATGCTTAGTTATTTTAGCTTCATGTGTGCATTTTAGGAATTATGTATATTATATATGTGCCATGTTAGCATCTAAATAAAATAAAAAGTATCATCACATATCAAAAATCTATGTATTTTATCAGGTGGTGCAAGTCAGAGACACATTTTCCTCGGCCTTCACTAAAAACTTCATTGTGGTGACGGTGTGTCTCATCCTCAATTACATAAACGGCACTTTGGTCTTAACCTTTCTCAGACACCAGGTAAATAATGGCGGGTAAGCAAATAATACAGGTCAACTCCCAATATTATACTATATTTAGACACACAACAGACATTTAAGCATTTTGTTAAAAGGTTTTCAGTAGTAAACCAATTGATATCTGAACCTTAATTAACCACAAAAGGTTCATTGTAGATACATTTCATCAGTCTCCTGCAGGTGAAATTTGTCTCCAGCTTTGGAAGATTTGAATCTGAATCTAGCTTAAAAGATAAAGAAAGATTTGTAAATGACACATATAATACACACATAAATATAAGTATATAAACGTAGATGTGGGAATGAATGAACAACATGAAAAAGAACAGAGGAGCCAATTGTAGCTTAAAACTAAACATGAATTCACTGTCTTTTAGCAGTTTGTTTTGTTCAAGTTCAAAATGGACTCGGAGGCAACCCCAGCCTTCTAGTTACTCTGGCATTTTTCTTCCTGAGGACCCAAATATAAAACATTTAGAAGTACATAAATACATGCCTCCGTGGATTTTTCCTCATACCAAGGCATTAGTTTTGTTTGTATGAGACTTTCACTAAATTGAGTATGTTTTTGTTTTCACTGTGTTTATGCACTAAAATAATCTGTATCGGATCACTAATGCAACACAACACTCACTACACACATTTGCTATGTATTTTGGCCTTTAGAACTACTGACCCTGTACATGCCATTCATCTGTAAATAAGTGACTACTGCATATACTGCAATTTCAGAATGTCCACAGGATGTTACTATATCTTCATCCTGCCTTATATGTATATAACTTTGTGCTGTAAAAAAGATTGATTGTTATCATGAAAATGCACTTGTTGCAGTACATATTAGGCCCCAAACCAATAGATTTAAAAGAGGACAGAACCCCAACTCATCCATCCCAGCTATCTATATACAGGCGGTCACAAGTTCCACTGGATTGGTCAGGGGGGTCAGCCGGCGACCAACTTTGAAATTGAAGCATTTACAGCTTGCTAAGAAACATAGCAGCTACTTAATATGATGTCCTGCGCCACCCATAGGCTGCTCCACCTCTGCTGCTGTGACCCGTCTAGCTCCACCTAGAGGCTACTCTATATCTGCTGCTGTGTTACTATTGTTAGATTTTTAGAATTATACATTTTACCTTTTATTTTTGCTGCTACTGGACACCAGAGTTTCTCCTATAGGGGATCAGTAAAGTAGCTATCTATCTATCTATCTATCTATCTACTGTATCTATCTATCTATCTATTTATCTATCTATCTATCTATCTATCCATAATGTATAATGTATAATCTGTATATCTTATCTTATCTTTAGATATTCTACACAGACCCACGTTACATCCTGTTCATCCACATGGTTCTGAACGACATGCTGCAGCTCACGGTCACCTGCACGCTCTTCGTCCTCAGCTACGCCATCTACCGCATCAACGTGTCCTTCTGCTGCTTCTTCATGCTGGTGGCCGTCATCACCACACGCAACACGCCCATCAACTTGGCCGGCATGGCGATAGAGCGCTACATTGCCATCTGCAACCCGCTGCGTCACGGGCAAATTTGCACCACTCGCCGCACCTTCTACAGCATCGGAGTCATGTGGTTTATCTGTTCCGCGCCCGCCTTTACTGATTTGTTTATAACGCTGGCGCAGGAGTCTCTGAGCTTTTTCCATGGATCTGTTTTTTGCCTTCGACAAAATGTGTTTAAAGATCCTATTTTGTCTCAAAAGAGATTCGCTTTTGATGTGCTTTATTTTTCTTTTGTTTGTCTGACACTAATCTATACATATTTGCGCATTTTCTTTGCGGCAAGAGCGTTAACTGCCGAGAAAGTGTTGGCGCAAAAAGCTCGAAACACTATTTTGCTACACGGTGCGCAGCTGGGAATGTGCCTGCTCTCTTATATATCGCCAAATGTGGAAATTTTGCTACATTTAATTTTTCCAAAACAATTTTTAGATATAAGATTTGCTAATTACATAGTTGTGTACATTCTTCCACGCTTCTTGAGCCCAATCATTTATGGCATACGAGATAAAATGTTTAGAAAATATCTCAAAAAGGTTTTAGTGAACAATAAGTGCAGAGTTAAACGGAAAGTGGGTGGTATAAATGACACATAGACAGCATACTTTTTTTACTTTGGATTTGTTTTTGGGATTAATGAGCATTGTATTCCTGAATATGTGATCATTAAAGTGGACTTTAATGTCAAAAGTAAAGAACTGGTTTTCTGTCTATATCAATTACAAAGCATTTTATTCACTTACTGCAGCTCAATACCAACCATTTTCAACCAAAGACAAATTTTAAGAAATCAAATTTTATTTGTATGTCTTTAAAAAGATTGAATAGCTTCTAATGATGAATTTGACTATTACTAGCTTATTTTAAAAAACTGCATAGGTCACACTAAAGTCCTTCGATTACAAACATGCATACACAAGTGGTGGTGAGCTTCAGTGCGGTTCGAACATTAACAATTATTAACGAACGTAGTCAGCCCAACTTCTGTCGTTGAATCTAATGTGCCACAACTTTTGAATTTGCGCATGTGTTAGCCGGCATGAACCCCATTCATTTGAATGGATGCCATTCATCTTGGTATAGTAAAGTCCACAGCAGCTGAACTAGACTGGTCCAAAAGTAATACTCCCCTCAGCATTGTCACATATGTCACACTTGGCCCAAGTAGCGTTGGGCCAAGAGCGACTTTTGGACAATCCTGTTATGCCATTTTCCAGAGGAATGAAGACGCTATAAAAACCATTGGGTAATTCTCTTTCAGATACACCCCCTCCGGAGTGATGTTGTGGCATGACACTGCACATGCTTATGGACCTTTTTGAGCTATAGGACCCGCCCCCCACTGGGTTTCACCAAACTAAAACTGGTCATGTAGACAGTCACCAGATGCAAGTCAAATCCGCATTTTTGTAACTTTTTGTAACTACACTAGTACCTACCATCTAGAGAGCAGACTGCTTGAGTAAAGAAAATGATACAGTATTTTCTGGACTATCAAGCCTAATGTTGTAATTTAACACTTAACCAACTCATGATGGAGCAAAACAGCGCCGATAGACCATGTTTTAACTTGAAGACGCATCATGATAATAATGAGGAGATGATCAAAGCACTCTGGTAAATGTAATCTATCTTGACAATCATTTTTTTACTAAAACTTGATGGAGTCGAAATAAACTCTGTTCTGATAATGTAAGGCCATTATCACATATTAAAAGCCTTGGTGTTTCCTTGTACTTCCCCATAGGGCTGGGCAATAAATTGAATTTAGGCAATTAATCGGCTTAATTTGTGAAAATCGTGAAATCGAATGAAGGATATTGTGAGAGTTCCAGCAGCACATGAATTATAACTAATCAGCACAGTCTGTACAAGACTTTTATAATACGTATTGAGGGAAACAAATTAAAAAAAACGTTTGAAACTGTAATATTGATTGGAAAGATCATAGAATATTATTAAGGGCAAAGTTTGTCTTCGGTGACTTAAATGAAAATCAATTTCAAATCGAAATCCTGTAAGCAGGAAATAAAATATAGATTTTTGTTTTTTGCCATATCGCCCAACCCTAACTTCCCCGATTTGCTCTCTCTGCTGTTCACATATGTCAAGTCATGTCATTTGGGGGGGTGACAATCAGAGCGGGCTCTTCAAATCACACAGCACCAGCCCCTCGTTGATCCTCCTGCAGGTGGTGGTCCATAGGAAGAAGGCTACTGCTTCAGCCTTGGTGTTTCAGCAGGGGCTTCGGGCAATGTGGGTTTAAGTGTCTTGCCCAGGGACACAACGACAGCAGACTTCAGTGGGGCAGGTGACAAGGGTCGTAGCGGGATCAAACCTACAACCATTAGGTTCAGAGACCAATGCTCTTCCAACTGAGCTACAGCTGTTCACATAATCACGCCAAAATGAAGGAATCTGTACTTACTCATCAGCTCTAGAGATAAACAGCCAGAGCTGTGTCCAAATCTCTTCCTGCAGTGGGAGCTCTAACAAAAGAATATGAAATATAAAAAAGTAGAGGCTTATATATCCCTTTAAAAGGAAATCTTGCCTACATATGTTTTTACAAATCTACTATATAATTGTACTGTTTTCCTTTTTTCCATTCATAATTAGTCAGCATAAAAGGACAACTGGATGAGTAATGGTAATGACGTACTGGCGCTATCTGGTGGTAGTCCAGGAGTATTTCAAGCAATTCCAACATTATAATCTCCCTTCCTTTATGTTTGGTCTCTTGTTGTGCTCAATAACAAGTTATTAAGTTATTATACATTTTCAACAGAGAATATACAGGGCTTATCATTTATTAAATAAGCCTACTACTCTATAGAGCTACAGATAATTTGGCATGATTTATATATTTTTTTTAAATACAACCCCGATACTAACAACTGATTACCTTCCGGGACCCCCCAAAACAAAAAGCCTTATCACAATGTTTTATTTCCTTTTAGGACATACACCATATCATAATAGACCCATGACATTCAGCTGTTTAGAGTTAACAAACCCCTGCATGGATATCACTAGACACCACTTCTTTGAATACTTAGGGTCAAATGTGATTATCTGGGTACAATTTTAGTGCTTTAGTTCTGTCAGACATCATAAATCAGTTTTTCTAATCTTAAGAGGTGCTGATTACTAATGCCGACACCAAAAAAAACCTTGATATGTTTCATTACAGTTTCCTGATATTTGCACACGTGTAATTTCCCACTAATCTGCTGTATTTAATTGGATATGATTAATGCACAATATTTAGCTTGTTGTTTTGACATTTGTAGATGACAACACAGTGAGATGCAAACCAAATATCAATGATTAGGACCTCTAACCCCTGTAACCGCGGCAACAACATCAACAGACTTCTTCTTCTACGCTTTATAAAGGAGTCCAGAGCAGACGGAGCTGCACTGGCACCAGCTGAGATGAGCACACATGGGTTTTTTTTCTTCTAAATGTGTTTTCTTTTCTCTATCTATATTTTCCTGTTACTCAAACAGCCATGTATTTATTTTTGTTTTTGTTTTTGGTGATCAGCTGCTTCTCATGCTGACAGTTTGAAGGTGCTTCGATGGATTTTGAATTTTGATCGAGGTATAAGAGACAATTATGAGGTCTGAGAATTTAAATCACTGTAACTATATATATAAAAAATACTATAACTTGTGTAATAGATGTACAACAATAATGATTTGGTCCTACTACAGACATGAATAAATCAAACCAGATTATAACAGATTTATTCACAGTAAATGAAAATATGTGGGGGGTTTTTAAACATGTATACATTTATGCAAGCATTTGAGCTTTTTACATTGGAGTTTCATGTGAATGTAAGGTGTAATATATATAAAATGCATTATTATTATTATTATTATTTGTAGTAGTTTTATTAGTATGATTAGTATTATTATCAGCATGATTCCAAAACCATATTGAAAAACATATGGAAAACAGAGATATTGAGATATTGAAGAGACCTACCCACTGTAATAACATGATATTGCTTAATTGAATGTAACAAATAATAAGACAAATGTAAAATAATTATTCAAAATTACAAGGGTTAAACATTATCGAGTGCATGAATTTTTTTGTCAATACTACTATTCACGCTATACTAAGGAGATCCATGTGTGCGGAACTCCAGGAGAAAGCCAAACTTGTAAACATGTAAGTTAGTGTTATAGACTTTAAGATTTGAATATTCTTTATCTTATATTTATATCCTGTTTTGTTTGCTTTGCCTATTTATAGACATTTCTACAACTCGGCAGGTTTTCTCTCTGGATCCAAGGAAAGGACATTCTAAAGACCCTCTGAAATATTATAGGGAAAGTTTAGAACATTTATTGAATGGATATGAATGGAATTATTATTTTAAATCCTAAAATACAAGGCATTGAATAGATTTGAATAGATGCTGTAATTACAAAGATATAAAACATAAAATCTACAACCTGACGGTTAAACAAACAACTACAGAATCAACATCTATCTCACTTCAGACTGAACACATATTGTGATTGTATAAACGCAAAATGTATTTTTCCCCACTCTCGCCTTCTTAACCGTGTAGGCATAGATTTTTTATGAGGATGTTGAACTCCTCCTCCCTCTCGGACGTCCTGGGGGGTCTCGTGAACTCTTCCGTGGGTGAGACTGCGGTGTCAGTGAACAAAGAGAGCTTCTCTAGCGCTCTGACCAAAAACATTGTGACCATGATGGTGTGGCTGGCCCTGAGCGTCATCAACAGCAGCATGCTACACACCTTCCTAAGACACAGGTAAACACACACATACCCTACATACTAACCTCTAACACAAATGTCGCACACAAACCTCAGACACAAACCACCTCACACACATAATCATCACACACAAAGGCCACACACAATCATTCATCACACACAAACCTCACACACAAACCTTATTCCAAAGTTAGCAACACATTGTATTTCTAACTTTCTAAGATGTTATTGGTTCACAAGGACTATGATCTGGACAGGGCAGCTCACATAGCTCTGCACAATTACAGTATCGACCTTTTTAAATGTGCAAATGAAGATTAAGATTAAGGTATACTTTATTTGCCCTACAATGTGGAAATGTCAGAGTTGTATCACCAGTTACAGAACAGTAGGAATGAGGAGCACACAACAAAAAGATAAATGAACAATAAATATTCTATTCTAAAATAACATAAAATATTTAACTTTGGCACAATAAAGTAGCAAGTATAAAATAATAATGCATCAGTTTTATATAGCGCTTTTGTCATGGTGTGGATTTTAATTTTTAATTTTTGTTTTATTTTGTAATTGGTTTTCTGTGGTTTGGTTTTAGTTTTGCTTCCTGTCTTGATTATCTGCCCCGCCCTGATGTGTTCAACCTGTGTCCCTGTCTATAATTACCCTGTGCCCCTCTCCACATGTTGCTGGTCCATTGTTTTGTCAATGTCCTGTTTCGTCATGTCAAGTTCTGTCTTTGTTCCTGGTTCTGTATTCTTGGATTTTGAGTTTAGTTTTCACCTGGACTTTTATTTTATTTAATCATTATTTTGGGATTGTCCGCATTTTGAGTCCTCCCCCTTCCCACCACGTGACAGCTTTTTTGGACACTCAAAGACGCTTTACATGTCATTTTTCTTTCACTCCATATATGGTGGTGATAAACTACTGTAGCCACAGCTGCCCTGGGGGCACACTGACAGAAGCGAGGCAACCAGTATGTGCCATCGGCCCCTCAGACCACCACACACACACACACACACACACATGACTTATTCTAGGCAATGGGGGGAAAAGTGTCTTGCCTAAGGACACAACAGCAGTTTGGCACTTTACAGCTGCAGCCGCCCCACTCTGTCTTGGTTAAGTGTCTTGCCCAAGGACACAACGACAGCAGACTGTGGGAGTCGATGGTGAAAGTCGGGCTTGAACCCATGACCTTCTGGCTCAAAGGCCAACGCTCTACCAACTGAGCTACTCTCACCCCTAAATCTCCAATGTAAGAATATTTAAGAAGCAAGAATTAAGTATATTATCTCGGACGTTAAAATGATGAAGAAGTAATTATAAAACGCCTACATTTAGAATAATAAAGAAGCAAGTACAAGCTTTATACTGTATGCTTTATATTAAAATGTACCTACTAGTGACATTTACTCACTAAATATAAATGTTTTGTATTTCATTTCTCCGCATTATTTTCCTGTATTCCTATTTGATATTTGTATGACTTTTATTGTCTATTTATCCTGACAGTGCAGGGCTTTGCGAACACTGTTTTTGAAAAGTGCTATCCAGATAAAGATGTATTATTATGATTGTACTCAAAAATCACATAAAATCTCATGAAATCCCGGATATGAATAACTAACCTACTGGGACTGTTTCTCTGGGTGTGGTTTTTGGGGTGTGTGCAGCCTGTTCTATGAGAACCCGCGGTACATCATGTTCATCTGTATGGTCATAAACGACGCCGTGCAGCTCAGCCTGGTCACAGCGCTCTATGTCGTCAGCTACATCTTCAGGAAAATCAATGCTTCCATCTGCTGTGTCCTGGTCAGTCCATACAATGTTTTATTAAAGCTGGGCTACCCAACTCCTCTTTTTCATGGTGTTGGTTACAATAGACAGAGTCAAGTAAAAGTAAAATGTTTTGAACAAATCCAATTACAAAACTCTTTGTGCTGAGAGCGGATTGGCTGAGAGTGGGTGGTCCTCTCTTTTTTATGTTTATGTCTGGAAAAGAGGATCTAAAGATGAGACAGAGGCCATAAAAAAATACATATGAAAACTAGTGCTAGAACCAAACTGTTTTGAGAGTGAGGAACTGGCTTGATGGATTTTATTACATAGTTAAAAATGTATTGATTCACAGTCAGATATCCCAGCTTTTTTAAGTCCTGTAAGTTCATAGCATATATAGATAGTGTATTGGATTTCTGAATCAATTTATGTATTCATGATTTCAGAATTCAGCTGTTAGCTATGTGGCCTATGAACATGGCATCGGTTATTTGCAACAATTCTTCTTGTTCTGTCCCTGTCAAATGTGTTTTCAGAATCTTACTTCAAACATCATACAACAATTAAAGCAGAGATATCCAATCGTTCCTCTGATTATATACCAAATAATTAAAAAAAATATATATATACATATCTAGATTGATGAGGATGGTTGTTTTATCAGATTGCTTAGCTCTAATAAAGATGAATCTGTTTCTCAGTCTAACTTGGCACTACCCATCTGTGTTTCAATTAATTATGGACGTCACATATTTCAGAAACATTGCGATTGTGTGGAAAATCTTTTTGGGCTGATGGCCAATAAAAACTATTCTGTCTCACTGTCACAGAGTTTGCTAGAGATTTCTGCAAAGGACATGGCTGCATCCGAATTCAACAAACACACCTCATGTCATTCCTGCCCTTTATTTTAATACATAAGGAATTAATACAACATCAACACTCACTCAAAAGATAATTTAATTTTACTGGAACAAACTCCTGAATGTCATTTTCAAAGAGGAAGCAACACTGGTTAAGTCTGATCAAATAAAGTAAAAAAGTAGAGAAACAAACTTTACTTTTAATTCCAAAAAGTTGTTTTTAAAGGACTTTCCATTCCTCCGTAGGTCATGACTGCCGTCCTCACTACTCGCTCTACCCCTCTGATTCTGGCTGGGATGGCACTGGAGCGCTACATCTCCATCTGCTTCCCCCTGCACTACATACAGATCTGCACAGTCCCCAGAACCCTCCTCCTCATCGGGGTCATCCTCATCCTGACCGCAGCCCCTCCAGTCAGCGACCTGCTCATCACTGTGGTCAAGGAACCCCCTAGTTTCTTCCAGATTTCCATCTTCTGCGACCACTCACTGCTCTTCCGGGACCGCTCCATTTACTACAAGAACTGTGTGTTCGACGGGACTTACCTGTCGTTTGTGGCCCTCACACTTATCTACACCTACTGCAAGATCATGCTGACCGCCAAAGCTGCGTCCGGCGAGGCTTCGGTCAGGAGAGCCAGGAACACGGTGATGCTGCATGGAGTGCAGGTGAGAAGTGGTGTGTAGCATTTGTACTATGTTCATTGGACTGCAGATAACTGGACATTGGTCATTCTGCTTCCAATGGCTCCTACCGTAGGTGTTGGTTATTACTGCATTTCAAGTGTTTGTCTGGAAATGCTGTCTGATTCTCTGGTCTGTTGTTGGTGAATGGACAACTTTGTAAAGTCCTTCAGGACAACTGCTGCTGTGATTTAGAGATATACAAAAATGAATAGATTTGAATTGAATGACAGTGATAATGAAAGGTTCACATCTATTCATCATGATTCTATGGAATATCAGAATCAGAAATATTTGTATTGCCATTGTGTGTATAAGGAAGTCACAAATCAGGAAATAAGATAAGACACACTTTGTTGATCTCACAATAGAGAAATGTATATGTCTCCATTGTGGGATCAATTTTACATGGCATGCACAAAAAGTACAAAAAGATTTATAGAATATAGAATATATAGTGATAGAGACAAAAGTTCAGGAACAAGCAGGACGAGGCTGAGAAAGTACGAGTTTGTGGAGAAGCAAACTCAGAATAAGGAGGCATGTTTTTTTAACAGTACATGATGCAGTAGGTGATAACAAAATCTCTTCTTCTCTCCCAGTTGCTCCTGTGCATGCTTGCCTTCGTGGTGCCCTCCCTGCAGGCAGCTCTCATCTCATTGTTCCCTCAGCTGAGTTTGGAGATCCGCTACATCTTTTACCTGGTGGTCTACATCATCCCCCGCTTCCTCAGCCCGGTCATCTACGGCTTCAGGGACGAGCAGTTCAGGAAGTACTGGACCAGGTACCTTCGCTGTGGGCTGGACAGTTTACAGAGGGTCCGCCCCGTTCTGCTAAAGCCCATCATAAAGCTGAGTGTGTGATGGGACATGATGAAGTGATGATGAACCACTCCACAGATCTGAACTGGAACCTGCTCGTCTCTATGTATGGAATGTACACGTGTCATTCACCTGTCAGACTGCACCCCGACTGAGTCACTGTATACTATGATGCACTCTACATAGATATAGCTAAAATCATAATTGAACACAATAGTTTGTATTATTATATTATTATTACGCATTGCTCTTGTAGTTTACTGTATTTGAACCTGGAATGATGCTTTTAGACTTAGGTTTGATTAAGTTAATTGGTTCTGCATGGATAAAAACTCAGGGTATGTTCCTACTGTGCTGTAACTGCTTTAGCATGACATGTGAAAGACAACTTAACAGAGATTATAAATGTCATGTACCTCCGAATCGAGAGCCCTGTGGTGACTAAATTGCACAATTTCTCTAAACATAAAATCAATGGAATGGATTAAAATAAAACGTATTAATGTGTGAGAATGGCCCTGTCAAAGTCCAAATCAAACCACAAAACGATCTTTCTTAATGTGGAAGGAACGAGAGAAGACCATTCTTTTGTGATGAACAAAGGTCCACAAAGTATTGTTTGATTGTGTTGGTCTTACATACAATTGAGTTCAATTATCTTCATGTTTGAGGTTGTGAGGTGACGAAGATCTAAGAATGTATTGTTTTCAATATTATGTATAACTTAATTAATTCCAGTTGCAATAAAATATGGTTCAAAGACAATATTAGATATATGAATGAATTGCAATGATAAAATTTCATATGTAGGTAACTTTTTTAGACAAAGATGTTTGATCATGGGGAAGTGTGTTGCCTTTTCCATGAAGTCAATGTTGATTAATTAATGAAACTATTGTTAGTTTTAAAAATAACACAAATGTAAAGGCAAAAATAAAACCGTCTTTTGGAGTTGTTGTTTCACAATTCCATTTCGTGTTATACAGTCTGCTAGTGCTAAGTATTAATTAAATACAAATACAATACAGACAAATAGCCACAAGATGGTGCCACATTCACATTAGACGCGTGTGTTCCAATCTGAACAGGATGCATCAGTAGCGTTATCACAAAAATGTATCGTCCTCCCTTATGTAATATTATTGGGAGAGTTTAACAAAGGCAACAATAAACAAACAGCTAAATAAAGATACTTGATTAATAGCCTTATATTTATTATATATTAGTAAATTAAGGTTTAATATAATTCATATGTGTGGACGTTGAAACTTTTCCACTTATTCCAGGCATTGCCATTGGTTTATCTTCATTTATATTTATACAAGCTATTAAATATTGATTACAATGTATCACTGTTAACTGGGCTGGGGAAATGGGATTAGCATCTAATCTGTAATGCTCTAAATGGCAGAAGCAGCCGTAATATAAAGAACACAAAGTCATTATTTTTCATTATCTCCTGCAGCTAAAATAATTTCCCCTCGCTCTGAAAATTACTTAACAATGTTATTTTGAAACAGTAGACTGGACGTGACTCTCGGCGGAGGAATCTCACTTCAATTAAGGCAAAATGAACTCGCGGTGGCGGAAAAAACCGAGCCTCCTTCGGAATGTGACGGAAACAGCCGAAGATAGGACTCAGCACGTGCCGTGAAGGTGCGCGCGAGGCTCACATCACTGTACTTCACTTCGCGCGCGCTCCTCTCCACAGAAGGGAGCATCGAGTAAAAATCCGCTCAACTCACAACATTTTGGATTTACTTTCGTTTAACTGTGGAAAAAGTTACGTTACGACGATGGGGTGAGAGTAAATTAAGCAAAGTTGGGGATGTGACTAACGCACAGGTGAGTGTTTCATCTTTTTCGACTAAAACCACTTTATGTTTAGCTAGTAATTTTCTGATTTAAGATAGCGTTATGTATATATTAAAGGTATGTTGCCAAATTATAGGATAGAACCGCCCTCTCCACTTTTTGAATAAAACTCTCTGGTCTTATTTGACGAGCACGTTTCACCACAATGATTGATAAATGGGTGGACCAATAGTATTGATGATCCACCCGGAAGTAGAAAATCCTCCTGTATACCTACCATGTTTAAAAGTTATGGTTCTACATCTGCTTCATTCAAGTTTTGCTGAGTCTGAGGTAAGTTCAGTCTTTCCTCTCATTTGTATTTTCTAAAATAAGGTCACATGAGGTGTTTATTTTCAAGACGGTATTTGCCATTTGAAGTAAAACCACATTGGTAAAACTGCGCAAGACCCTAACCCTAACCCTATCAATACCCCAGTTTGTACGAGATGAGACCTCCCCCGAATTTATAATTAAGTTTCTATCCCACTTATCTGTTGCTTATCTTCAGTACTAAAATATATATAAAAATGACCTTTCTCTCGACAAATATCAACGCTGGATTTTGGGAAGCAGTAAAACAGTCCATATGTTTAGAATTATCTCGTCAACGTCATTCTTTAGTCAAATGTTATATCATGTTACAACTGCTATTTTTAAACTCTCCCTTTCATATTGTATTGTTAGTTGCAGCCTATATTTAACAATGGCATCTTTTTGAAGCCACTCGTCTCATAGCTTGTTTGTTTATTTGTTTATCTGCTGGGTTTTCCGGTGCTGTGATTGCAGGCTGACGTCTCTCTTGATGCTGAATTATAGATCACTTTATTTCTGTGCTGCATAGCGGTACCTTGGAGAGCTCATCGTGGGCTCATGTGATTACATGCACGAGAAAAGAGACTGTCCCACTCCAACTATTACCTGTCCTTAACTGGGGGCTTAACGTGTATTTATTGTTCCGTATCTTGGTTTTACATTTATATCTTCCTTTTTCCCATAAGGTCCAAGATTGCAACCAGTTTCCTCCTTGATTTTTGTTGTATATTTTTTGTAAATTCTACTGTAACTTTCTTGATTCATCTCCATTAAGTCTTATCCATAATTTTTATGGCTGGACTTTAATGGAGGAAAGTCGCTTATTTTTTGTTATGGTCAATCAAAGTAAAGTTGCTTTTTAGTGTCTCATATAACAACTCCTTAAGAATTATTTCAGTGTGGATTAAAACCCCACATGATTCTTTTAACAACATGCACCATCATGGATGTTAAATAGTTGGTTTTGTTTAGCTCTGTAGACTCTGAAGGATTGTAGCTCTTTAAATGTATTATTTTTAGTATATATTTTAATGTTTCCTTTTGTTTTGGAAAGCACTTTTGAGTTGCCCTGTCTATGATCAAGCAAAAAAACTTGCCTCGCTTTAGTATTTCTATTGTGACTCTTACATAGACTAATATTTTGCCTTTTGTCTTTGGCCCTTGGACTTTGATAGCAGTCTGCAATCTGAACACGTTTGAAGTCTAAATTTGGATAATAAAAATAGATGATGAGAAGTGTTTTTCTGATTCAAAACCAAGTATGACGGATGAAGTGTAGCTCTGGACCTTGCTTTACCTCGGTAGATTTATAGATGAACAAATTAACAGATGCCACTGGTGCTGCCATGTTGATTTTTATTTAATAGATTGGATGCACAACTTCAGGAAAAAAACACACTTTAGGACCTTTTAACCAGGAAAGTGCCACTGAAATTTCAGAATCACTTTTTCAGAGGAGTCTTGAATCTAGAGAGAGGGGAGCATGTACATGTTTTAGTAGAAGTAGAGGAAATTGGAGCACCCGGAGGAAAACTATACCGAGACATAGTGCTCAGAAAGGGATACGAACGCAGGATCTTATTTTTGAGAAACAAGAGTGCTAAACTCTCAGGCACTGTGGCGTCTGAATTATACAGCTGTTTTTTAGACACAAATAGAAGTGGATTGTTAAATTTTTACATGAATTTCTAAATGAAGTGGACATTTTACCCAAAACAACTATGTCTTTAGGCTGCAAGTTTTCTGCTATTTTCTTGTTTCATGTCCAGTTTTATGTATCTATTTTGTGGCATTAATCCACCAGATTTGATTATAGTGTGTTTAGTTTTGGGCCATAAAGTGGGACCAATAGCTGAGTGCCAGTGGTAACTTTCGAAATGACAGCCTAATAAGTAAAAAAAAAGCATAAATTGAAGTCCATTATAAGTTTATGTAAACTTCTTCCAAGTTGTGACTCATGAACAATTGTGTGCAGGAGAGCTGCCTCCGTTTCCAAATGTGTGCTGTTTACTGTTCGTAGTAAATTACATTTTATCTGCTGCGTTCACGTACTTTGATGAGACACTAATCGGCCTGAGCAGGTATTTTAACGCTGACTAAAGGCACACAGCGTACATCGGAGTCGTGCCAAAAGCTTTTAGAAGATTCCTTGACCCTTGTTGATCATGAAATTTCTCAATAAAACTGAAATGATCAAGATGTTTGCATTATTATCACATTAGCAGAGCTGAAATCTAAACAATGGTGAAATTAGTTGGTGTTGTGATGGTTCAGGCAACAGCGATGCCACATACAATTATTCATATTGTTTTTTATATAGTTGTCCCTTTCATTTTGCTCTAAATGTGTGTCAATGTGTCGCTGATTCAATTTAAAACACAGTTTAGATCAACTTGGTATTGTGGTTTAGTCCTCTTGTCTATGATCGGGTTTGGTGCTTTGGTGCATCAATCTTAAATTAGTTCTTCAAGTTTGTTTCCATCTTCTAAATGTTACAGGGAAAGATGATTTGTTGTGAGAGAGGAGATGGATGGTGATTCTGATTAAAATAGTTGTAGCCTTGAGCCTTGAGCCAAGTCTTGAAACACCACCCCCTTACAAACGTGTACTCTACTCCCACCTGCAATTGTCCAAATATTAACGACAAATAAACCTAGTGAAATGTGTTAAAGATGTTGTGAAGTTTCTCATCCTGAAAACATCGACTGTTGTTTGAAGTAAGATGGAGCACGTTGTGGATTTTACTACCAGGAATAAGGGGCTGCAACTAAGTGAGTTCAATTATTTATATAGAATTTGCACACAACTTCACAGGACGATGCACCAGACAGATATACAAGTACACAGTTTGAAAAGGGTTTTTTCCATTCCCCTCATCCATCCACCAAACGGCAACACACTATAAACACAAAATAGTGTTGATAGTGTATGATAGTGATAGTGTAATAGTGTTTGATATTGTAATAATTTACTGTACAGTACATGCAGAAACACAAGACAATGCCCAGTCGCTTTTTGACTCTACTCTCCTCCTATCACCTGTTCTCTCTTCATGGTTTGCTTTTTCCTTCACATACTTCTTTCGTGCTTTTTTGAATATAATATGTAAAGGTAAGAGGATTGTCTACTTCCGGGTGGATCAGCAACACTATTGGTCCTCCCAATTGTCAATCATTGTGGTGATACGTTCTAGTCAAATAAGACCAGAGGGGGCAGTTCTTTCCTAAAATCCTCCTTTATACTGTACCTTTAAATGAGCAGATCGTTAGTAATGTGTTCTCAAATAGCCTAAATATATAGTTAGACTTGTAAAGTGATTATAAACAGTTATCCATATAACTGTGTTTTTGGTGAATCAGTTACCTAAAGCTCTGTTTGACTATATGTATAATTAGGTAACTGTATTGCTTGTTCATGATTTGACCATCAAAGTGTAGATTTAAAAAAATAGTGAAGCTGTCCCATACAGAACCCAATTTAGCCATGCCCAGTGCTGCATCCACAGTCTACTCTAAAGATACATGGCTTGCTGGCAGCAGCTTTCATCCACTCATGCAAAGTGCATCAGGTAAAGTGAGTCTGTAAGGTAATTTAATTAGATTATGTCTAATTTCTGAATGTGAGGAAATGGTCCAGTGATTTTCAGACTGGTGTTAACCTTGAGCGCGGCTATAGCTGTTTTAGCTCTTCTTAGCCTTTTAAAGTTAGGAGGAAAAAAGGAAACAAGGACAAGAAGTGAAAAGATACAAAAGTGACTTGTTATTATCAATATGCAGTCAACATTTGGCAAACACTCCAGAGTTTTCAGGGTCATATTGTGACTCACATTTTTTTCTAATTAGATGAATTCAGCTTTCAGTTTATCACAAGGGTCTGGTTTCTAGGTGAAAACAGACACTTCAAACTAGATCAGAGATTAGCAATAGTGAGAAAGTTAAATATGTTTATATTTTCTGCTTGACGACAGTCCATGTTACTATAATCAGGAGCCAAGGTCGAGCTGAAGAATAGTTTTGTGGGTAAGTGTCATTTTTCTAAGTCGTTATTGTGTCCCAAGGATCATTTGAGACTAATCCCACAGAAGGCAATTTGGGTTTAGTCAGTACCAGAATAAACATTGAAAATCTGCCAAAAAAGGCCTCTCCATTTCACCGTCGCTTCCTCATCGTTTCCTTTCATGGTCTGGTCTAAGACAGTTCAAATCAAAATGGAAAAAGTGCTATTTTTGTCTTAAAGATTAAACAATAATTTACTACCATGTTTATAACGATGTATTGTTTTATCTGATGACACCATGAGACTCTGGCCCCTATGTAAATCAGTCTGTATGATTATGATTGTATTTCTAACAAACAAAAATAGTTCAAAGATTTTCCTTTATTGTATTCTATTAAAATCCCCATTTTCGCATTCTGCTTTGTTCTGTGAATGAAGAAAACATTTGTGTTGGTAATGATCCGAGCATGACCCTCTGCTGCCTCAGGTGGATATGGTGAAAGAGACTCTCCCCAGTTGGGTCCAGTTGGACTCAGAGGACGGCCTGGTGCATGTGAACGTCGGTGGGTTGAAGAGGAGCCTCTGTTCCAGCACTTTAAAGAAGTTTCCAGACACCAGACTGGGGAAACTACTGTCCTGTGGCTCTGAGGAGGACATACTGCAGGTTCTAACTTTTTTCAATATCACAGTCCATTATGATATGAGACAATAACAGTGGGGGTGGGTCCCGGCTCAAAATTGGCCAAAATGACGCTGACATGCTTGCAACCACCCCGGGTCGATGGGGGTGGACCCGGAATAAGAATTAGCCAATGCTAACATATAGCATCTTCTTGCCTCTCAAAAACGTCTTTACAAGATGGTCCAAAAGCTGGCTCTTGGCCCAAAGCTCCGTTCCACATGTGTGTCAATGCTGAGGGGAGTGAATTATTTTGGACCGCTCTAGTTTACTCGCTGTGAATTTTTGAAGTCTCTCGTTTAAATGAATGGGGCTCATGCCGGCTGACGCATGCGCAGATGTGTTTTTTCACATTTTCCAGCCCCTGCGGCCAATTTCTGGCCTATTAGTTAGAACGGCAGAGATAGGTGTGACTACGTCCGTCAATACAGTCTATGGACAAACATTATCTGATAAACTAATACTCTAAGAATGAACTTCTGTTAGTACATTGTTGATGTTGTATGAATGTCATAATTGTGAGTAATGGGTACCAAATTATTTGTGTGCTGGACTCATTTTAACTAACCCTGTTCCATTTACAAAACAATACAAAAATGTTATCCAATATGATTTGTGAACTTATAGGAGCTGATTCAATATAATGTCCCCACACAGCGCCTCCACCACAAAGACTTTAATAGGATCAATGCTTTTGTGGATGTTATTGGCAGAGTATTGGTCACTGAATTCATTAAATGACTTGAACTTGGACAGCTGCTGCTATAACTCTTCTTTAGACTATTACTTTTTCGTAATCTGTAACTCAGAGGGTAAACCACCTGCTTCTGCTTCATGCTTTCTGTCTTCTTGAGTCATGATTAATCTCATGAATAAAAGCAAATAAAAGTATTAACTGGTTTTTGACCCTTGGCATCTCCCTTGTCTTGTCTGTAGGTGTGTGACGACTATGATGTGCAGCAGAAGGAGTTTTATTTTGACAGGAACCCCGGCCTGTTCCCCTATGTCCTTCACTTTTACCAAACCGGAAAACTGCATGTCATGGAGGAGCTCTGCGTGTTCTCCTTCTGGTAACATGCTCATGCAACAATTGTACATTTAGCCGTATAATCCGGACTCCACACTCCGCACTCCTGTATACATACACAATTACGATGAAAGTGAGTTTTTTGACCATAGTTGTGTTATCACATTTTTAAACCCACGTCAAACTGTAAAATTGTAATATTTAAGTATATTTTAGACATTTGAAGATATAAAGGTTCTTCAAACTTTTTATTTGAAGTTTAAGGTGGACTGAAACTCAACTCAAAAATGTAGTCCCAGTCTTGAAAGAATACCAGCTTCAAACAGTGGTTGAGGCAAAAGACTGAATCTTTTAAGAAATTCATGATGTTTTCCACGGTGGCTCAAGGCCTGAAAGATGACAGTGTCTGAGCTGCTCTGTGCTGCTCACTATTGTATTGTCAGTAGGTACAGTGCCTTGCGAAAGTATTCGGCCCCCTTGAACCTTTCAACATTTCGCCACATTTCAGGCTTCAAACATAAAGATATAAAATTTTAATTTTTAGTCATGAATCAACAACAAGTGGGACACAATCGTGAAGTGGAAAGAAATTTATTGGATAATTTAAACTTTTTTAACAAATAAAAAACTGAAAAGTGGGGGGTGCAATATTATTCGGCCCCTTTACTTTCAGTGCAGCAAACTCACTCCAGAAGTTCAGTGAGGATCTTTGAATGATCCAATGTTGTCCTAAACCTAAATGACTGATGATGATAAATAGAATGCACCTGTGTGTAATCAAGTCTCCGTATAAATGCACCTGCTCTTTGATAGTCTCAGGGTTCTGTTTAAAGCGCAGAGAGAACCATGAAGACAAAGGAACACACCAGGCAGGTCCGAGATACTGTTGTGGAGAAGTTTAAAGCCGGATTTGGATACAAAAAGATTTCCCAAGCTTTAAACATCTCAAGGAGCACTGTGCAAGCAATTATATTGAAAATGGAAGGAGTATCAGACCACTGCAAATCTACCAAGACCCGGCCGTCCCTTTCGTTCCACTTCCTGATTGTGTCACACGTGTTGTTAATTCTTGACAAAAAAAATATTTGTTTATATCTTTATGTTTGAAGCCTGAAATGTGGCGAAATGTTGAAAGGTTCAAGGGGGCCGAATACTTTCGCAAGGCACTGTATATTGTTAGGGTTATTATTAAACTGATCATGAATAAACACAAGAATGTTTCATTCACTTGCATTTTTCATGTACCCCACATTTTTGCCTAATATCCAACACAGACATTCATCAGATCATCAAAAGAAGCTGTTAATAAATGATAATCCTCAATAAACAGTATCACGCAAAATAACTGTGCCACTGTATTTGTCAGTCAGGAGATCGAGTACTGGGGCATCAATGAGTTTTTTCTGGATTCGTGCTGCAGTTATCGATACCATGACCGTAAACTAGAGAGCAGCCGCCACCGCAGCTGGGACGACGACAGCGAGGTGAGCAGCATCGACACCAACGTAGATGAGATCTCCGACTTAAACAGGTATGTAAAGTGTGTTATTGCCTTCCGAGAACCACCTAGACCAGGGGTCGGCTACTCAAAAGGTTCAAAGAGCCATATTTGACAAAACAACTAAAAACAACATCTGTCTGGAGCCTTGTATAAGGCTTATATGAAGGTAACACAGGCTGAAGCTGTATTAGCTATATTAGCCTAATATCTAAATGACAAAGTAAAGGCTATAAATACATAATAAGCATTCATGATTATCAAATGTGTATTTTCACTGCAGCGTGTCCTGGAGAGAATGTCGACTCTGCTTTAAGTTTAACTTCCATTTTTTTGCCTTCATGCAATTGCAGAAATTTGTAAAAACATCTGCTTTTTGGCTCAGAGTTCACATACCTGTATCACAGCACTGTCTGTTCACATCATATATCACAGGCTGAGGTTTGCTGGAGCTGAATTAATGTCCTTAATTGCCCTTTTGTTTGAAAATAGGTCTGAAAATAGGCGCTCTGAATTTTTGATGAATGAATCCTTCACGTAATCTGTGTTTTGCGCTTCATTGTTCCTCGTGTTGCAACACAAACACGAAGCCGTCCTTCCTTATTGATTGAAAGCAAATGCTCATTCTTATTCTTAGTCCAGTCTTATCGACTCTTTCTCTTTTTAGCTTTGGGATCCATGCACACACGTCGTTTTTTTTTACAACATCGGCCGCCTGGCGCAGGGCCGCGTCACAGGATATGACGCCCTACGTGGACAGAAATTGAAATGGAATATTACTTATGCACATTTTTACAGCATTTAAAACATTAAGAATGTTTTTCCTCCTACAGGAACCACATTCAAACTAGAAATAAAATATAGCTCTCCCACTCCATTTTCAGACATTTTTAAAAAGGCTCCAGGAGCCACTTGAGGAGCACTCAAGAGCCGCGGGTTGCCGACCCCTGACCTAGACAATATATTTATAAAACACATTTTCCCAATCCTTGTGGAAGCCTGCAGCTCTACTGTAGTTGTAGCGTAATGTATCTGATGCTATTATCTTCTTGTTTTAATGTGATTTTGTAAATTAAATTCAGAGACATACAGCACTTCCAGGAGGTACGATACGGGAATGTGCGTAAATGTCTGTGGCTGACTCTGGAGAACCCCGGGTACTCCATCCCCAGTAAACTCTTCAGTCTGTTGTCCATCGTTGTGGTGCTCACCTCCATCGCCATCATGTGCATCAACAGCATTCCCGAGTACCAGGTCAGTCCTCTCTCTACCGGCCACATGATCCTCCTAGGCAAGGCAAGGCAAGTTTATTTGTGCAGCACAATTCATACGCAAGACAACTCAAAGTGCTGGACTAAACAAGATAGAGACAGTCAGATACATCTGATCACAGTAATTTAAAAAGAGTAAAAATTAAATCCCTCAGTTGTATGCACAGCTAAACTGAACTGTTATAACCTGGATTAGAGAAGAGGCCTGTCTCACTGTTCCAGATTTTAGCTGCATGAATCTGAAGTGCAGTCTCCCCATATTTAGTTCTGACTCTGGGCACCAGCTTAAGGCCAGTTCCTGTGCTCCTCTGAGTCCAAGACGTTGTGTTTTTCTAAAGTTATAACGACAAAACTAATACTATTATCTTATCGCAGATATTTGATCTCGATGGAAAGCTTATAGAGGACCCTACTATGCAAATCCTGGAAGTCTTCTGCTCTTGCTGGTTCACCTTTGAGGTAAACACACACAGAACAAATCTATCTGAATCTTTGAAACAGTCCATCCAAATAAATTGATCTCTGTCGTGGAGGTGGTGACTCGGCTGCTGCTGGCTCCAAACAAGAAGAAGTTCTTTCGCCACCCCCTCAACATCATCGACCTGGTGTCTGTGGTGCCCATCTACATCACTCTGGTCTTTGACTTGACTCTGGGCTCCGAGTCTGAGCTCGGCAACATCGGTCGACTCATTCAGGTGTGCTGCTTCGAAACACTCGTTATTTTGTACCACATATGTGTCATTTCACTTTAATAATGCCAGAATGTACAGTATAGAACTGCATGTTTTACTGTCACTTTACTTGACACTTTGCCCCAGATCCTTATGCTGCTTACATGTACAGATGTATACCCATTACTATATATAATAATAATAACTTTATTTATAGAGCACTTTAAAAACAACACAGTTGACCAAAGTGCTGAACACAAGTAAAAACACAATATAATATAGAAACATATACAAGAATACAAATTGCACAGAAAGTCAACCCAATGAGTTAAAAGCCAAAGTAAAAAGATGAGTCTTAAGAAGCGACTTAAAAATAGGAAGTGAGTCCGCCAGTCTAATATGCAGAGGCAGACCATTCCACAGTCTGGGGGCTGCTGCTGCAAAAGCCCAATCCCCTCTCGACTTCTTTCTGGTCTTAGGGACCACTAAGAGAGCCTGGTCTGCTGATCTTAAAGCCCGTGACGGAGTGTGGGGCACAAGCAGATCAGTCAGATACTGAGGGGCCAAACCGCGCAAACATTTGAACACAAATAACAGAATCTTAAAATCAATACGAAGGTGCACAGGGAGCCAGTGAAGAGAACAAAGAATAGAAGTGATGTGGTCAAATTTGCGCGTTCCAGTTAAGAGTCTGGCAGCAGCATTATGGATTAATTGAAGGCGCGAAAGTGAGGTTTCACTTCACATATCACTTACACTAAAATATAGAACATTATATACTCTTGCTTCTTCATTGTGCTACAGTTGGAGATTTTAGACTTCTTTCCTCATTATGCGAAAGATAGATATTTTGTACTGCTTCTTTTTATACTATAGTTAGAAATTCATGTTATTTGAATTTATAAACGTATTCTTCATTTATCTTGTGCTGTGAGCTCCCCATCCACACTGTAATTTGTGAAGCAACACTGACATTTCCCCACTGTGGGACAAAAAAGGATCTCTTAATATTAATATAGTGTGCTTGCTAGTCTATATTTGGCCTGAAGAACCAGTTAGTTGGAAGTGTATAGGATTCTGAATGTATCTTAATATTATCAAGTTGTGTTTGTAATCCTTAATTTGTGTTTGTATCCTTTTGTAGTAAAGATCTCTCATCTGTGTCCAGGTATTCAGGCTGATGAGGATTTTCAGAGTTTTGAAACTTGCCCGACATTCAACTGGACTCCGGTCTTTAGGGGCTACACTTAGGGTGAGACCCCAAGTAAAACAATTTTATTATAAGTTTCTTGATTTTTTTCCAAGAGACTTTATTGATTGCATTTTGACATTTATATCATTGACCTTTCAATGGATGACAAGGGAAAGGTTGCACTGTATCATTTCCATCAAAGAAGAAATAGTGTAAAAAATACATAACTTATTGGTTTAAGGCTCTAAGCGCTTTACTATTTGCATCAAACCAAACTAGAAATCTATATCTTGTTTAGCGCCTTGTTTTGAGGTACATTTTAAATTCTGAAATCACTAAAGGTAAGTGTGAATTTCAGTAACGCAGATATTTGCATAGACGGCCTTACCCATTCAAAAAAGAGAGAGGCAATTAAAATGACAGACAGTAGTGAAACGTGAGATGCGGTGTGTCCTTCATGTTGTGGACGGACCGTTGTGGTGTATCTGATTTTGCTTTTGTACATTTGATACAAACCTCCCTGTTCTGATCGATACTATACACTACAGAGCAGGACTTCACGCTGCTATTGTGAGGAAGGAAAGCAACGGAACAGTATACAGTGGCAAACAGTGCAGTAAAGCTGGAAATGTACCCTATGCCCCTGTACTGTGACCTAAAGAATCAAAAACAATAAATGTGTTTTGATCTTGTGGGAAAAAGTGTCGGAACAAGACCAAGATAAGAGATAAAAAAGTTATATAACAAGCTGCTCTGAGTGTAATGCATTATGTACACGCCACAAACTCCCTGTCCAGTGGTGGAAGTATTATTAGATTTATATCAGTGAGATTCAGTTATGATACAAAATGTGAAATTATTATCAAATTAACCCCTGACGTGTTGAACATTTGTGTAGTTAAACATTCTGCATGCTTTTTTTATTCATTTTAGTTTGTATTGAGTTTTTAAGTCTATTCACATGTCTGTTAATGTGTTTGATTTACTATTTACCTTGTATTTGGGTGGGTGGTTGCGTATGGTTGTGTGTGTGTGCGTGTGCGCATGTGAGAATGGGTACTTGTGTGTATGTGTTTGTGTGCATGTGAGAATGGGTCCTTGTGTGTGTGTGGTTGTGTGCATGTGAGAATGGGTCCTTTTGTGCGTGGATGTGTGCATGTAAGTGTGGATCGTTGTGTGTGTGGTTGCGTCTGTGTGTGTGGGTCATTGTGCGTGTGTGTGTGTGTGGGTCATGTTGTGATGCAGCTGTTCTTGTGCAGCACAGTTACCGTGAGGTCGGGATCCTGCTGCTGTATCTGGCTGTTGGAGTCTCTGTCTTCTCTGGCATCGCCTACACAGCCGAATACGAGGAGGTAAAGACGGCGTATCATTTTGGCACACACATTCAATATCATCAGGGTATCAAGAAAAAATATTAAAAGAACAAATAATCACAACAGTTTAACACATTCTTCTATTTGACATTATGTGGTTTATCGCAGTAAATGTGGGTGATCCATATTTTCTTGGATTATTATAGTCTCGGATATTATAGTCTTGTAAAATCATGTGAACAAATCAGACCCAACTTGCTGTCTTCGTGTCTTCATTTTCTTCATTTAAATCAAAAAGTTGATGTAAATATGTGGCAAAAAGACATGCAAGTTAAAACTAATAATAGAACCAAACTGTTTCAAGAGCAAAGAACTTCTTAGATGATTTTATATTGACTTCTATTTTAATTTATTTGAGATTTTTTCCGTTTGAAAATTAAGCACCCAACCTTTACAACATTAGTAAACCTGAGAGCAAGTAGATTAACAGCTTCTGCCACGGCAGAAGCCATTTAAGCCGTAAGACATAACACATTGTGCATGTCTACATTACTTAGATAAGTCTTACAAAATACACCTGTTTGCCTCAGATCATTAAATCATTAAGTCACTGTATAAAGTTTGGGAAGCTTAAAGACTTAGACCTAACTTCAGGGAAGTGAACACTAGCAGTTTTATTGTTACTATTTCCTTGGATATAAAATATACTTTTCTAAACTTGTTGTTTTTTGCCTCAGAACGTGGGTCTGGACACGATTCCGGCGTGCTGGTGGTGGGGCACAGTCAGCATGACCACAGTGGGCTACGGGGACGTGGTGCCGGTCACCGTGGCCGGGAAACTGGCGGCGAGCGGCTGCATTCTGGGAGGTACCCTGGTGGTGGCGCTGCCCATAACCATCATCTTCAACAAGTTCTCGCACTTCTACAGACGACAGAAAGCGCTGGAAGCTTCGGTGAGGAACAACAACCGCAGGAGCTGTGACATGGGAGACACAGGCTCAGACACAGACATAGACGACATAGAAGAGGATGACATTGACTTTGAGGACGAGGGCGGGGTTATTAATTATAGCTTTGTGGAGCACCTGGTGGAAAAGGCACAGAAAAACATGCATAAGCAACATGCATAAGCAATGAGAGACGTCATCATGGACCAGACATTAGAATACTGAAGATGGATCAGACTGACCATGGGTTTAAAACACAAGACAACTGGTCCAAAGCTGCTAAAGAAGAAGAGCAGATGTGTTAATGGACCATTTGCGTCCTGCCCACGCTTACGGCCTCTCAAACAACTTCAGTTTAGTTGTGGACGCATGAGGTATTTAAAGGTACATTATGTAGCCTGTTGGAAGAATGCAAACTGAAACCTGAAGTAAATGCAGCAGTGACAATATAATCGATATAATACTGTATGTTTCTGATCCATGCAGCAGCCAATGGTGCAGACCTTAGAACAAAGGTGTCAAACCGGTCCTCAAAGGGCCAGTGTGGCTGCAGATTATAGTTCATACCTAAGTCAGAGAACAAGAGACCCCATTTCCTCAAGTGAGTCTAGTTTTGACCAGTGTGGGTGGGTCCCGGCTAAAAAAGGTCCATGAGCATGTGCGCTGACATGCTGTTGTCTCACTCCGGGTCAGAAAGATAGATAAATAGATACTTTATTGATCTCCATAGGTGAATTTCAGGTCTCCAGTAGCAGCAAAAATAAAAAAATAAAGTTGATCATTCTAAAAAGTTAAAAATAGTAATAATCAGAAACAGCAGGACGGGTCACAGTAGAAGAGGTGAAGTAGCCTCTGGGTGGAGCAGGACGGGTCACAGTAGCAGAGGTGGTGTAGCCTCTGGGTGGAGCAGGACGGGTCACAGTAGCAGTGGTGGTGTAGCCTCTGGGTGGAGCAGGATGGCTCACAGAAGAAGAGATGGAGTAGCCTCTGGATGGCTTGTGTACCCGGAAAGAGAATTACCCAATGCTTTTGTATGGAGTCTTCTTTCCTCTTGAAAACGTCCTTACAGGATGGTCCAAGCTTCGGCTCTTGGCCCTTAGCCGCTGTGGACTTTTGAATGCACTCGTTAAATGAATGGGGCTAGTACTGGCTAACGTATGTGCAAATGCATTTTGTTTTCACATTTTCCTGCCCCGCTGCCATTTGGAAAAAGCCCACAGAAGGCAAAAGTTATGGCATATTAGTTTCAACGGCGGAGATTGGTGCTCCTGCTCAGGTTGGAACCAAAACCTGCAGCCACACAGGCCCAGACTGGAACCGGTTTGCCTTAGAATATACATGTGCTTCCATCGTAATGCCCTAAAGCGCAAGTGGACATCAATATGACTGTTTTCACTTCCTTTAAATGTCTGGGTTTGAAGTTTAAAAAATGTTGAGACAATCTAGACGCATGTACTGAATAAACAAACGTGTAAAAGAGGAAATAGGTTGATGATTTCTGGGTACATACATGACACGCACTTGTGACAAAACCAAATGCCTTTTCTTTCCTTCATTACTTACTTCATACAAATGAACTGTTTTCTAAGGAGATGTGAGGCACGTATGACCTGGTTAGATCTCTAGCGGCGCTGGTGCCCTCAGCTCCACTGACATTAGGCTCAAGTTTCACATAAAGACGCTCCTCTTCAGACTCTTTCACTCACTCATGTCCCGCCTTGCACTGCTGTGAGCACTTCAGATGGATTTCACTGGCAAGACCTGCTGCGTATTATGGCATTGATCGAGATAAGATGTCTTCCATTATTCTCCAACGCTCCATCCAAACTTGTGTATTATGGAATAGATCATAAACATCAAATGAACACCTGATCTATACAGTAAGCTAAATTACCATTACTATTACAATTTTGTGACAATATTATCAATGCACGATTGTGTAGGTCCACTCTTGATATATATTTCATGATTTTTTTCACACTACAATGACATCCATCTTTTTCATGTCCAAGTACCGATTTCGATTTGGCTTTCAATATTGGCTGCTGATACCCAGTATGAACCAGTGAAGGGACTGAAAATAAAAATTCTTTCCTCTCAACTTATTACAAAAAGGATTCGATAGTGTGTTTTATGGTTTTTTACCTGCACGTTACTATAGACTCTATACTAGTAAAGAGTAATATTGTTAAAAGCAAACAAAGGGGTACCAACTTTTAATTCACAAAAACATGTAAGTATGCCGTATCTAATTCCTTACTTTTCAGACCAGCCTCATTCGGCTAAAATAGTGACTCACAAGTATAAATGTATGTTTCTAATACCATGAAGACAGCTTTTAGTGTCATATTTGTTCACAACATTTTACCTTTACAAGACATATTCAAGAAAAAAACTGAAAGTTGGGTGCCCCAGTTTTTTTATTGTGTGAATTTGAAGAAGCAGGCGTCTCGTTTTTAGCCACAGTGACGTATTATCAGCTTCCTTGCAGGAGATTAAATATTAATTTTGCTCCTTTTTTCTGGAAGAATAAACACAGACACAAACAAAGTGGCTCAAAAGTTTTAATGAATGGATCTGATTAGACACAAAGAGGTTTTTAGATACGTCTGTGATTTTCTGGCAGAAGAAGTGGCACAGATGCTCAAGTCGTTTCAGCCTTTGAAATCCAAAACTACTATTTTATTAATTATCATCGTTTCAGATTTGGTCATGTCATTCATTTCACAGTGGCATTTCCGCACACATGCAGTAAGCGCATTCAGGATTGTAAAACACAAAGCTACCAAAGTCTGCTTAATCAACAGTGCGTCATGAGCCAGATTTAGATCAGTGACAGAAAAGTGTTAAAACTGGTTTGAATGACAAATGTCTTGACTATCAAAAAACATGTATGATTTCAATCTGAGTCATACTTAAATGATATTCTTATTTATTCATAGCAGCAACAGAATCACTTGACCACTAATAGGTTAAAACTTTGAATTAAAGATTGTTTAATATTTTTTAAATTACAATTGTACTTTTATTTTTTTTATTTGGGGTTTATTGAAGATGTGAGCCATAATTATCTACATTAAAACAACTAAAGGGTTGACATATCCCACTTTGTCATGTACAGTATTAGTTTCACATTTTGAGTTAAATTACAGTAAACAGAACATTCTAATTTTCAGAGTTTCTCCAGAATGACATCCTCATAGAATAAGAATACCACTGTTTAAAATCCTGGATAATTTATAAATATTCCTTAAGATGTTATTTTGTTTTTATGCAGTCCTTTACCAATTAAAATTATGCCTTATGAAGTACTTTAAACCTCAACATCTCTGAACACAGACCCTTTAATGCGAATGGCACAAATGTAGTGCAGCATGAAAACGTTCAAATCATAAAGCGCTGCATTGACGACTTATTGTAGAATTTATAAATATGTTTATCTGTGAAATACTAATATACTGTAAATCCGACTGGATGTAGGAACTGACAAGAACAATATAATGAGAAAAAGTAGACATGTTTTGTGTTTTTTTATTAAACAGGCAAAGTCAAAGATAATGAAAAAAAAAAACAAATAATACACCAGTGTTTCTGAAAGAACATTATGTCAAGAGTTTAAGGCGTAGCTGGACGTAGCTGCATTCAAGGCCATGCAACAGAGAAAAGGCATTAGCAAAAAAAAGAGTGCAAACGTTTTCACTGTGTTCATAGACAAAACACGGTGTAGATGTATACCAAATACCGTCAAAAGTAATTGCTCTTAATTCAACATTTTAAAATCAACAAATAAACAGTCAACATCTCCTTAACACTGCAGGATTTTCCACGTAAAAACAAAATAAATTAACATTAAAATGACATATGTTAATTCCCCGTGGTTAAACTTTCTCTTCTTTCAGTAAAGTCTCAGTACCATTTAGTGATTATAAGTCTTCAAAATAAAAATACACCAGGCGTTCATTATTATAAAAAACTGAGAATAATACCAATGGTTTTTCAGTGATCACGACTTTGCACCAAACACATTTCGACATCTATTTGAATCAATCTTAAATCTTTCCAAATAAACCACAGCGATATTAACTCAAAGTTCCTTTAACTCTCTCTGTCACAATATTTGAGTTGTGTTGAAAGTCCATATGCACAAGAGAACAGCAGAAATACGTATAGATCTAAGGATCATTTAAATAAAATAAATCATCTGTTGAGGTTAAATGATTCAAACATGTTTGTCTCTTTACAGCTCTGTGACAAAAGCGTGTTCAGAAAATGAACTTTCTTCAGCCCTGAGCGTTCGACCTGAGAAAATAACCCTTTTATCCAAACCTACTGCTACTAGTATAAAAATAGATTTATTTTGTGCTGCCAATTATAGACTTTGGCTCAAGGGAATGTCCAAAGTAAAATAATTTGCTTACTTTGCAAATACTCTAATTGTGCGGTGGGCAAAGCGTCTTGGCACGACAGAGGGGTCCCACGGCTCGGCCAGGAATAAGAGCTTTGTTGAATCACGTCCATAAATTTGACCTTTTAAATCTGATATGAAGGAAGCACCACTGGTGGACATTCTGAATAATAATACCAAAATTATAACAGTTAATTTAAATATTATTGAATATATTTCAATATTACAAATGGATTCAAATTTGTAAATATAATATTATTTTAATTTATCTTGAACCTACTACATTTAATAGACAAATTGAATATAAAACTAGGCAATATTCAAAATATCTCCTTTAAGGCTTAATTACAAAATGGGGCAAGAAATAATACAAACTGAAGAAACAAGATAGGTTTCTCAAAAAGTGATTGAGACGCACCATGGACACGTAAGTGTGATGCTTGGACTTGGATCCAAGTCTTTGCAGCTGGCAGGAGCGCTGCACAGCTGTGTGTATCACCGCTGAAGATGGGAAATCCCTTCAGTACTTCTTTTAAAAAATACTCAAATTAACACAACACATTCAATTGTGCTTTCCGATGGAATTGAAAAAACTACTTTCCCACTGCGTCAACAATGTTCCACATCCTGTGTCTGCTCAGCTCCAGCACACCACTGCTCTCAGAGAAATACAGAGCAGTAAACCCAGGTGGGCCTGTGTGCGGCGGGTTCCAGCCCCACGGTTCTGACCGGTCCAAACAGGAAAGACACAACCCCTCTCATAACAGATTACAGGATGTTTGTACATGAGACACTGACACCAAAGAAGGATTTGGATTATCCGCCTATATTTTACTGCATGTTGGATGTTAACGCACTATTTGGTAGTATGTTTATAAATAAGAAAAAAAGTGAAATGTATTTAATTACCACAATCAGTATCAATTGAGGTATTATGTAAACAGTCAATCAAGTTACAGGTTGAGCACATAGAATGATATCGTCAATTAAACTAGATTCAGTAGTAGATTTCAATAGTAAAGAAAAGTAGCACATGGAACACATGGACGTACTGCCGATAAAGCCGGAAAGGGAACCACTGTTGCCAAAATATTGGAATAAAATGAGAAAATCTCTTCCATGAAGATTTCACAATTTTTTCAAAAATGTTTTAACTGGTCACAAATGTATGAAACTAAAATAACACTTAAAACACAAAGCACCCGGAGAATGCCAAACACCCATATTTGCAGAATACAGTATTGGATAATCTTGTCAATCCAACTCTTTGGAAGCTTTCTCTTATAGAACTCTAAATCCACATATCCTTCGATCCCTGCTCTTACCCGCTTCCGACATCTCTCTCTCTCTCAAGACGTAGAAAAAAGTTTTTGTAGAGATTAGAAGTTCTGCTGCCTGCGTTTCTTGGCCTCGATGGCGTCTAGAATGGGCTGTCTCTTGGCCTGGTAGCGCTGGTGTATCTCCTCGATCTCCTGCTCCATCTGAGGGTCCAACGAGGCCAGCCGCAGCCGCAGTTCCTCCACTGTCCATGTGTGGAGCTGCTGAGAAGAAGGGAAGGTGTGTGGGTTTGAGTGCACATGATGTAAGGTAAAGATCAGAAACACCTTATGGAACTCACAATGGAAAAGTTTACACAACACATTTGGCACAGATAGAATCACTTTGGGTGTGCGGAAAGGCAAGAAGTTAAAAAGGTTAAAATATAGTTTCTTGTATGACAACCTTTTCGAAAAAATAATGTATAGTTATATCTGGACTCAAACCGTTCTTCAGTTGTGAATCCAGTGGAGTTTAAACAAGATGTGAGCCTTAATTATCTAGATTATAACAAATAAAAGGGTTGACATATCCCACTTTTCATTTTAAGTTAAATTACAGTAAAAGGATATTGAAATTTTCGGAATTTCTCCAGAATAATGTCATAGAATTTGAATTATATACTTTTTATATCCAGGATACTTTGATATTTCTCAGATGTGTCTTTTTTTTTGTAGTCCTTTGGCAATTAAATTATGCCTTATGAAGTACTTCAAAACTCTTGTATAACGACCTTTTCCAAAAAACAATGTTTTGTTATATCTGGACTCAGTAGTGAATCCATAGCACTCAATGGTGATGATAAACAATATTAATAGGTAGAACTTCACTGTTTGAATAATAATAATAATATAATAATAATAAGTGCATTTTTACATAAATCAATCAATTCACTCTCCTAAATAACTTGAAATTACAAGAGGGACGAGTTGTTACAGGGATCAGGTGCTCTTCGAGGATCCGTGAGAAAATTAAATGGAGAATAGAAAGAGCGAAAGTTCAGAGTGCCTCGGAGTGTTACCTCTTTGATCTCCAACTTTATTCTATTGTGTTTATCCAACATGTTTTATTCACAAACATATCTACTTAAACATGCAAGATAAATTCACAATTCAACACAATATATTTCTAATACACAAGTTCTCTTCTCACGTCCCCACGGCAAACCCAACGAGGAGCTTGCACTTCCTCGCTTTACCAGCTCTAGTGCACTTGACCTGAGCTTCAATCAGTCAATAACCATTCCTTTAAATCATTAGCATCACCTTAAAATACAGCAGATAACAAGTCCTATTTACAGACACACTCAAAGGAGGCGCATATTGACATTTCTCCATGTGGTCCTCTGTGGAGCGCTTGGACCAGGGCTGATCCGGTTTAGGCTGGTCCCCGGGGAGTCCCCTATGAGCTCTTACCAGCAGCACACACACACACACACACCCACGGTTATTTATGAGACAATCAATGGAGCTAAAATAACATCGGAGCGAAAAGGATGGACCGAACTACGTCAGGTCAACTCTGGCACTCGAGGAGAGAAAAGGGGGAGGGAAAACCTTAGATCTATCCGAAAACTTTTGTGGTTTCAAAGGGCAGAGAAATTTGTCATTAAGTGAGTGAGCAAATTGAATTTCTGTTTATTGTTCTGAAAAGGGCAATTTGCTTTTGGTAACACTTACAGAGATGGATGGACTGGTGTTGTGTATAATCGAGCTTGTGATTCGCTAACTTTCTCTTAAATGCAGCTTATGGGCAAAGAAAGACGCATTACAACCGCAGAAAGAACAGGACAAACAGAGCACTGACGTCACTCATGGCATTTGCCTTTTCCCGCAAAAGAAGCAAGGAACAGGCTCCGCAGCCAAAAATCACATTATGGTCACGGTCAGACATGTCTTTCCTGCCTTTTCATAGCCCTTAAAGTACTTCACATACTCATGCTTCAGTGTATGTGGACACTGGTGGTGAGGCAGGTCTTGCCCAAGGAAACAACAGCATTCATCAATCGGAGCTGGTTTCACTCGTCCCGATCTGATTATTCGGATCACCAACCTTCAGGTCAGAAGACACACGCGCTAGCTGCTGTCGACAAAACCCCGAAGCCAACCGCTGCAGCGTTGTTCATTTTTAGGGCTTATCTGGATTTTGAAGAACACCAAACTTTACTATAACTTAAGCGCCTGATCTACATCATTTTGTTTACCTTTTGGAGGTCTGTTTGTGTGTGAATAAAACCTGTTTTGGGCCTCTGACTGAAACTATTTTGTATGGGAATAAAATCAATGCAAAAAATGGCATCAAAAATATTAGACTAGAAATGGTGCAGTCTGTGTAATCATACTAATCATAAAAACTCTGCTTCAAACTCAACCCATAAACCCATGACCGGAATTGTTCAGAGATAACAGGTGCAGACAAAATTCCACGATGGCAATCATGAAGGAGCAGTGGCTCTACTCCCAGCTCTTCAAGAAATACAAAAAAAAAAATCAATTTTTGGCTCAATTTGGGCAGCTTGGACCTGGGTTTTGCATTTTAAAATGTCTAAAACCGGTCTTTCAGATTCAGGAAAGGAAAGAGCTGATATTGAGACCAGATTCTATGCTCACGTCATCACTTCTACTTCATTTTAGCTTCAATTTAGCTGCTGTCATACGCTAACAAACGAGGATACAACAGGTAAACCGATTCTTCAGCCTGTTTGTGTTTGTGCCACCACAGGCTTTATCAAGACAGCGGCGGAGTCAATAATTCATGTGTAAAGTCTCTGTACATCAGACAGACACTTGCATATGAGAACTGCCACAGCACGCAGCCACATGACATCCCTCATGACCTTTCAGACGATCGGTCACGTTCTCCATTCTCATCAACACCTACTCTTCTGTCCCTGCCGAGCTACAGGTCTGCAATCTCCACTAAACGTACTTCAGGACACAAGATGGAAAGAACTGAGAAGCTGACTGAGAAAAAGCGTATTGTTGCAGTGAAAACAGATAAAACGCAGAAATAGTTGAGTGTGAAGTCAAATGTAGTTGCACGCTGACTGGATCTCATGAATAAAACATCTGCAGAGTGCTTTCCCTCCACATGTTCTATGCTGCATTGTCACACGAGTGAGTGGGCCCGCGCTACTGCCACTGAAAAATTGACCATAAGGAGCGAAAAGAGCGACATTTGGGGCTTTGAGTTCCACACGATTACGCAACTACCAGTGTTTATCTTGTGGTCAGGAAGGCGGTCATTTTAAATAAAGAAAAAGTGTGAGATTAACGTCAGGTTGACATCCAAACCCGAGTGGCGTGCAAGAAGTCAAAAGTGGCAGATGAAAACTACCTGTGTAATGATGATAGTTTTTGCCCGAAACGTCACAAAAAAAAAAAGAATTCCTTTGGGAGCTCAAGCAGTGCAGATTAATCTCCAAGCATATAAACAAATAGGAATCATTTAAATCTAATATTAATTAAACCATTTTTACAACAGCTCGTAGTTTTGTAACCTTTTCTATAATTCATCAATGTGTATAAAATGAGTAAAAAACTACCATATGATTTACATGTAAAGAAATGCCCCAACTAGAACTGTGAAGCAATTATTTTATTTTTTTGCCAGAGTTGTGAAATAAAAGCACTGTAAAAATAGCAAAACATCTAAAATTAAGCAGTGCCTGTCAGGATGGAGCTGTCAGACTGCCTCAAAAGCCCTAAATGTTGTTTTTATCAGAGCATTTGCAAGTCTGATGGATCAATGAGGGCACTCAGTGGGAGCTGCTCTGTCAAATCCACTTTTCTTTCGCTGATCCAGACCGTAAACATGTGCAGAAGGGTTTTCAAGTGGTAGTTCAAGACTCAGGGGTCTGATAGTGATGATTAAAGGTTTGTTGGATTGTTTTGGATTATTTTGAAGAGTACGACAAGAAGAAAAGGAAAACAACACCAGGAGGCTATTGCTTGGTAATCCAAAAATAGGTGCATAATTCAAGATATGACACAACCACATTCGTTAGAGTAGCCCAGTCAAAGTCCAGCAAGAACCTGAAAACTACTGTTCTGAAAAGCTTTCCATCTAATTTGACCTCAAGTTGTTTTGTAGAAACAGTCGGGCGACGCTTTGAGTCTCTAGAAGTACATAACATGTCCCCCAAAAGAGAGTGCAACAAATTTTCTAGATACTATTGGAGCAAAAAGTATGATTTTGCTCATGAAAAATTCCACATGTCAGTGGTCTACAAGCCCACCTTGTCCCCCCGTGTTGGTGGGTTACAGGGGTCTTTGTAACACCTGTTTTTCTTTTTCTCGTCTGTCGCATCAGTGCATCTCCAAAACCCAAAAGATGCACCGGGAAACCAGTCCACAGGCTTTTAACCACAACCAACAGTTCACCTTCCACTAGAAGATGTCTGCCTAAATGTGGTTTACATGTAGACCTCTCAACAAGAACACTTAACCTTTAACCAAACCTAGTTTGGATTATCCTTTAAGAACCACTTTGAATCCATTTAGAGAAACAGAACTTGAAGCTTTAAAGGCTGTATTCCAGGAGTGAGGGCTCTTACTGGTCAGGGCGTAAGAGCCACAATCTTCATGGGGGTTGTCCTGGAAGAGTCACACTATGTTCTGGCACCACCAGCTCTAGGGTCAGACTACAAATATAACCACTTTTGGTTTCCATCTGATTTTCTAGACTTGAGCACATCTTTATTCTTGGTGAGTCCTGGGAGAGTATTTGTACGCAAATATGTTTAAAAACTACTCAGCTCTTGACGCAATTTAACATAAACAATACGTTTGGTCAGAGCCATTTAGTGTCACAAAAATACTTCTTCAAAGTCTGATCTTTGCTCCAAACTACAAGCTTTTCTGAGGATTGGGTTGTGGTCAAATTCTCAAATCCCCAAACTTACTCTTGGTCTTTTAAAATAATTATATCTTGATTCAGTTTTCCTCCAAATCCATAAAACTGTGGCTCATAGAAAGCCGTTCTTGTGTTTGAATCCTCACCGGCCTGAATACGCCACACTCCTCTTTACATTGGAAGCCTCAGATTAGATTTACTTGAGCGCTGCACACCTCTATGTAGACCAGAGCATGACGGATCAGGGAAGTGCATGGTGGGAAGGGGGTCACGCTGCGGTTACCTGTCAGCGCCAGTTATGCTACTTTCACATAAAAACGACAACAAACGGCCTGATGGGAACGCCTAATACTGCACACGGGAGCGGCCGAACGGCATGTGAAGACGCCGCAGTCTTTGGTCTATCGTTACAGGACATGCTTGAAGTATGTTGCCATGGAGAGATTCAGCAGGTGAAATGACAGAAGAGATCTCTTTACTGGACTATATTCAAATAGCACAGAATGAAACGATATTGATCTCACCGTTTGATATTTATTGAGATATTTTGGAGGCTCACAGTATTAACAATAATAATGCATCGGTTTTATATAGCAGTTTGTTTTGTTTTTTTATCTAAACTGGCTAAAACAGGCCTTCAGCTTGTAGCAAAGCAGTCTTTAGGCCCTCTGATGGATTTGACTTTGACATTCCTGCTCTAGATTTTATTTTATCTTTTTAGTGTTTTTATTGATTTTACATGGATTATATTTAATGACTGGTTGAGCTACATGGAGTTTTTTGTGTACATTTCTTTTTTTCTTTTTTTTGTGTGCAGCACTTTGGAACTGTTCTGTTGTTTAAATGTGCTATAGAAATAAAGTGGATTGGATTGGATTAGATCATTTCTTTAAAACCACATCCTTCTTATCAAAAATGTTATTCTCATCAAAGTGTATTACAGAAAATCAATCATATCTTCTTTTCACTTTTAGCCACTTCGACCACTTGGTGATATTGGATCATTTCCAAAGGTTCACCAAAAGGGCCTAATCTAATCATTGTTATTCTTACTTTTATTTTACGGCCGATACTATGTGCCACAGCTGTTCCACAGAGCAGAGGTGGCAGACTGGGAGATGCAGGGAAAGATGCGTGCACCTTGATGTAAAGGTCATGTACTTAATATTTAATTGTAGCCGCAGTCGTCCATCCTGCTTAAGCGCTCCCAGCTCAAGACAAACAGCGGCTATTTTCCCTTTAAATGTTCCTGCTTTAAACCAGATCTATGAGGCTCTCAGGCGCCACGGCAACTCGGACCAATGGCCACGCTTAACCTCGCCTTTCAAATGTCACGCAAGACATAGCAAAGCAAAGGGAAGGCATTTCAGGGGCCTATTTTTAAACCCTGCCCGATACATAAATATCTAAATTACATTCTCATTGTCCATGGAAATACATCACTTTAAAACTGGCTTGTTGTCGTCTTAAAACAAGTTTTTAAGATTAACAAAAGGCAGATCCAATGCAAGGCTGTGTGAGAAGAAGAAAGAAGCTAGTTAGAGGTTTTATGCAATAGTTCCAGCATTTTGCATTGAGAGCTTTCTGCTTTCTGGACTGAGATTGCAAGTATGTCAGCGCACGTGCTCCTGGACCCGCCCCCCACTGGTTGGACGTCAGGTTGCCATGAACAGTGAAGCATATGTCACGACGTAAACACACTGTTTCAACTGGTATGTAGATTACGTAATAATATAAAAGGCATCAAGACAAAATACTTTTCCTTTGAGAAACCCATATGTGTACTTGCGACCAAAATCTAACTGGCAATTTTTCAAGACGTGTGAATATAAAACACAGCCGCACTCACCACCTCCAGGTCTCTCTCGGTGGGCAGCTTGCGGTGGTCTCCATTGTTGTCTCTTGCCTCGTTGTGGCTGTTGGCCTCTTTTTCCTTCTGTTCAAAGTACTCCAGGAAGGAGGGCTTGGCCGGCTGCATGGTATCGTCCCTCCCTAAAGGCAACAGAAGAAGGAAAAAAACATAAACAGGCTGCGTTAAGATTCAGCAGATGTGTCTGGATTTGTTTTGCTAATTAAAAAGATAATGAAGAATGAAGCTTAAAGAGAATAACAGAAGTGTTTTTAACCATGCTACAGATTTGCCTCTTAAAACATATACATCTCAGGATTATTTTGAGATGTCTTTTACAGAAATGTGTGTATTGTTATTAATACAGTAAGAGACAACAGAAGGCACGGAAAAGGCAAAAACACTAATTTTTCCATCTCCAGACAATGTGCCCCTTGAGATCTTACAATAAAACTGTAGTTAGCCATAATTAGCTTTGAGACCAGCTAAAGAGTGCTTTACTTTATTGGTTATACCCTGCTGAGCTCTGCGAAGTCAGCCCCGTGAGTCAATGGGAAGGCAAAGTACTGCACTGTGCTGGTGATTCATGGCTTTAATAACCAGCAGGCCTGCGCTCCCCCAAATGCAATACCTAAAGAAATTGCATTATGTTTACATCCAGTCTAAAAGAAAATAGTCCAATAATGCTACAAGATCTTCAGATGCAACAGACCTATAATACCGAGCACTTTCACTGCACTTTCAATGTTTATTTCCTATGGTCTGGGCAAGGAAACAATCAAAATGCCAAGCTAAATGATTATCGTTTTGACCCTTTAACCTTAGAAAAGCGGGTTTTGTCGTGAGACCAACGCTACACGGAATAACAGATACTGTATATACAGTACATACAGTAGATACATGTACGCATCATTCATGTGGATCAGATTTGTTGAAAAGAACAGTCACTAAGGCAGGTATAACTTTTAGTACGGAGTTTGAACAGGAGCCCAAAACCAATGACTTCGCTTTCTAGTCTTATATCCAAGCCATGACAATTGCAGAAAATTATTCTGGTGCATATTTCCAATTATCTCAATCTTTTTTTGTAATCAAATCAAGCCCCAAAGGCTCCTATTGATAAAAGATATTAGCCCCTCCCATATGTTTTCAGTGCAGGCAACCCCTTTTGTTGGATATAAACAGCCGTCTACATGAGCTGTCAACTTTGTATTTATTTGTTTATTTGTCACATAAACATTACAAGCAGTGAAATTCATCAGTGCCTCCAGCAGATGTTCTGCACATTATTCACACAATAACAGAATAATAATAAAACGGAAACAGAGACAAAGTTAGACCCAGTGTAGTAGTCTGTGTGGCTTCAGGGAAGAAGCCATACAGACCCATTATGGCAATTTAAAGAGTAGTTGTAGAGCTGGACTTTATGTCGATACAAATCAAATTGTGACTTCATCCTTTAAGAAAATGCTATTGGTGCTGCTGTTGTTGAGTATATTTCTGGACAGCAGGGACGAGCAGTCTACCACTAACTATGTATTTTGGTATGACACAGTAAAGCTCTGAGTGAGTGACCAATTGATTCAAGATGACGTGAAGAAGGCGGACACAATTCAGCCGGAGGCACTCAAGAAGTTGTAAAAATCTTTCATATCTGTTTCCTTTATGAAACATGGAGGTTCAAATTCAGGCCCTGTCCACCGTTTTAAAAAGAGACGGACAAAATCTCTACTTTCAAGACAAGGCGATTATTTAAAAAATGGCTGGGTCAGATAAAAAATAAAACATAAAAAAATCACATGAATAATATACATAATAATAATACAATTAATCAAGCTGCTCAAAGGGACACTTCATAAAACGTAATAAGAATAAATGTGGACAGGGCACTTATCTGGCACTCGTGGGCTCAGATTAGCCTCCTCTTAGACGTCTTATTGATCAACTGCTCTGTATTCACTGGGTTACAACACAGGTTTAAAGTGCAGCTCTTTTCTGAACTCAAACTCGATCCCAGGCTGCGTCCGAGGCCTCAGACAACACAGGAGAAATAAGCTCACAAATGTTTAAAACCTTTTTGTTTCTGTTCATTTTTCATAGGTTAAAAAGATGCTACATTGCATATAATATTATCCCTCTCAGGCGATTTGTGTTTCTCCTGCTGTGTCTTCTCCCCACTCTTATCTCACATTCCTTGACCAAGGCCATAAACAAGGTCCCACAATCTACAACAACTCACACTATTTCAGTCTCCAGCAAGGATCCCCCACCCCCGCCTCCCTCTACCTATCCATCTTGCTCCCTCCCTCCCCTCCATTCCTTATTGTTTTCCTACTCACCCCCTCCCTGATCCCGCCCCCCTCTGACAGCTACATTGGGCCGGCCGCCGGAGGTGCTCATCCCGAGAAAAAAATCCGTGGTTTATAAAAAGCACAATGTGTCTATCCAATTGTATGTGAACTGTATGTTATTGCTCTCTGCTGTTTCTTGCTGCACACAGCGCCGCAAATGGCGAAGTGGCACGCTCTCTGCCAAGACAATTTCCAAGTGATAACTTTGTTACTCACGTGGCAATAAAAATGATTCTGATTCTGATATATGGTATAAATATATGGTAAAATATTCCAAAACGTCATTGTGACAAAGCAGGTTCCTTTGTCCCTTTTTAATGCCATTTTTATTGCATGTATTACCTGTTGAAGAGGGTGTGTCTCAGACAGCCATTTTGTTTTGTAGGCAAACCCTTGTGGGCGGAACTACAATGATAAAAGCTCACAGGTGAACCTCGTCAGGAGGAGTCACACCCAAGGGACAGGACTGTTTATTGTGCTTGTGCAAAAATAAATCTGTTTCATCAATATTATTTTAATATGCGTTCTGCCGTCTCATTTTGACTCTCGGGCCAGCTTCCCCACAGTCATATATATTATCCCTTTCAGAATTAGCAGTCAGCTGGTAACAGTAACTACGGCAATTGTATATTTCTAACACTGATAAGGCCACTGAGAGCTCCTGAATGGGAAGAGACCCCGGGAGCCAAACCCAGGGTCTCCATCTATGAGGCGAGAGGGGTAACCGTGTCTTCCATCAAATAATTACCAGTTTCTGAAAGTTAATTTATGTTTGCGAGCGTAGTACACAGCCCCATCAACACATTCTATACAAGGTTCACAAACATGTACGAGACATTGAAGCAGGGAGGATCTAGTATCAGCGTCAGATCAGAACAAAAAGCAATGGTTTAAAAGGACAACAGAGGACGGGGTTGTGAACAAGAAACTACTATCAAGAAACAGTCTGCTGTGCTGAGCAATGCAAGCAGCACAGCCAGACACATCCTGGATACAAACACACGTGGTAGATCCCAGTTTGACATGGAGTCATTATGCAAATGTCTAATCTGTAGATGCGCAAATGTATTTTGATGGAATGCAAAATACCTTTTAAAAGGAGCTGCAGCCATTCAACCAGAGTGCACTTAACCCAGCTGTAAGGATGCAACATTAACAACTAATGTATGAACGGCACTGGCTTATTTGAAATCATACTTTTTGTAGTATATTTCTTGAGTGCTTTTGTTTTTCCGACAATGTTTAAATCCAGGTTAAAAACTGTTCTGTTTAGCTGTATATTTTTGTCTTTGTTTTTAATGTACTGTGATTATTTATGATTTTAATGCTAGCTTATTTTGTTCTGCACTTTGAGTTGCCTTGTGTTTGAATTGTGCTATACAGATAAACTTGCCTTGCCTTCAATTTAAACCTTGTTATAGCCTTTAAAAACAGTATTATGGCCCAGGGGCTGCATAGTTGTGGTGGTCCATTGTGATACAAGTATGTTTTATTCATTCAGTCATATTTCATCAAGAGAGAAATGCTTTCAATTGTAAATGGTTATAGGGCAGTAAAGATGGCGACAAAGTAGTGGATTGGATAAAGACAATTAAACGTAGAATGAATCCTTTGCATGATGGGTAGGGCTCAGGGCAGGACTGGGGCCACTGACAGCGGCATTCAGGGCCGGTGCGTGTCCAGCGGCCGCTCCTTCTTCTCTGTGTTCCATATTATTCAGGGGACATGGTGGCACAGCAATCAGCGCTCGTGCTTAACAGTAGGTCCTGGTTAAATCCCACCTTCTGACAGGGACTTTCTGCGTGGAGTTTGCATGTTCTCCCCATGTCTGCATAGGTCTCCACTTAAATAAAGGTGAATAATGTGGCCCTGCCCCCTGCGTTAACAGAGGGCTGGAATGCAAACATCCTGAATATTTCTGTGAGCCACTTTGGAGTGGTTAGTTTGGGACAGGGTGGGGGGGTAGACATGCTCACCTGCAGAGCACAGGGATATCAGAGTAATGTAACACTGTTACATAAGCTCAATGTTCTTGTGATAATGTGGTTTATAGGGCCAGCATGGGAGATCGATGCTAACACGATGAGAGCAGGAGAGACAGAGCGGAGGCTAATTGTCCATTTATACAAAGGCATAAAGGGAAGATCTGCCACAAAGCATTGAGCTGTATGTTTGCTGCATATAAAATACTAAGATACAAATGTGTTGAGGTCATGAACACATCCCAAGACCTCAACATGTGTAAACGCGTTTGAAATATATACATAACTTGTTATATATATGCATATATATTTCTATATAGACATACTTTTTACCCAAGTTCACTTTCACAGTGCATGGTAATGAAAACTTTGCAAACTTGTGCAAACTCTACTTTTAAGAGCTTGTAACATGTTCTCTTGTGCATCATTGAAACATCAGAAACAGCACACAGCTTTGTGAGCGGAGCAAATGCTTTGGTTGAGTGAGAATGAGTGAGATCCACTTTTCAGCACAAAGCAGAAACTTGTCGTTGATAAAGGAGAACTTTTGAAACGCCTCTAAGGACTTCAGAAACGGCAGAATTGTTTAACTTTTTCGTTTTTTTCCTCCGTAAATTCAGTTTCTATATGCTGGTCCAATGTCAAGTAACAAAAGCATGTACATAGAGTTACTCGTGGAGAGAAGAACATTAAGTTGATGCAATATGAGATTGTCGCTTGATGGAAATTAAAGCGTAAAATCCATATTCAGTATTTATGCATGTAACAATTATGTCTTTGTGAAATCTAAGACTCCAGATTATTGACTAAACGAGCTATTGAAAGTAGAGGGAGTCTGAGTTAAACTACATTCAGTGTTTTAAAAGATGGACTACAAAGTTTTGACATTGGCTTAAAACACTGTTTATTCACAACCTTTACTAATTTAGATGAGAATATTTTGTCTCTGCCTTGGAGAGCAGAGTGTCTTTTTTAAGGGTATGTTTGTGCGTGAAACCTACACTTTCCACACACCTACAGACTGGAGGCTGTGTCCAACTCTGAGACCGGGCTCCAAATGCTTCCAACGCTCTGCTCTCCCACTCTGCACAGAGGCCTTCACCAATGCAACAGCAGACTTTAAACCACTCATAAAAAGTGCAGAGATAAGACTTTAGAGCTTGAGAGATTAAAATCTGTAACATTCTTTTCTGATTAGCAACTAACTTTTCAGCTTCTCTGTGTCACTTCAGGTTTACATACAAAGTCACGGGGGTCAGTCGATTCTTCATTAGGCGTTTTTGGTCTCAACAGGGAAGTGTAGCTGACACTTATTGACTAAATCAATGTTTTATTTCTGTCATTTTAAAATGTGTTCATATCTTAAGTTGCATTTCATATTGGTCATCAAACAGTTAGAACAAAGCACCAAGATGATGGTGATCATACTCTGCTCCCTAGTGGCAGAAAGAAGCCACTCTCTTATATCTGAGATTAAAATCTGTGGCTTGTAACGTAGATATGCATCTATGTATTGTTTGTTTGTGAACTGATGGCCTCTATTTATATTGAAATGTGTGAATTAAAGATTTAAGTATGTATAGTAAAGTGTCTTACGTTTCATGGTCCCTCCTTCCTCCTCTCCGCCCTCATCCGAGTTGATGACCATAGTCCCCAGCATGGTTCCTGTGTCTTCGTGCTCGATCATAGTTCCACTCAGCGAGCCTGTGGAAATGATGGTCCCTGTGTCCCCTGTACCCGCTCGGACCATGGTTCCCTGGTCCACCTCATCGTCTTCCTGTAAAAACAAACCAGAGACATTATTTTCATGATCCCGTACAATTTAGTCAAATGTGAATTTCAACACAATGCCAATCTAAAACCTGCGCTATCACCGTATTTGGCGCCGCAATTTTGTAATAGGCAATTGTAAATAGAAAATCCTATGTAGTGACATTTGATAATTAATGTCTGATGTACATTGAACTCGAAATAAAAAAACACTCTGTAAGTACGTAAAGTAAAACCTTCTGTACAAGGCCAGATGGATCACTTTAATAATGTTAAATGTTTCAGAAGGTCACATTCTGATGGTCCATGTCAAGACTTTCATCACTGACTTATTGACATCATTTGGCTGGACCTGTGTGGATCTAAATAAAAGGAAAAATAAGTTCTGGGAATAGCATACAAAGTTGAATTCTGTTTTTGGGGGTTGGATTGTGGGTAGAGCGTTCCAAAGGCTTAACTTTCAGGAAAACATGATTATTTTACCGAGTTGTCATCGTCGTCTGCGTCTTGCTCCCTTTGCTCGGCTTCCTCTTGTTTCTTCAGTTTGATCTCCATGGCGTCTGTGATCAGAGCTCTCAGTATTGAGTTGGGTTTGGCCGACTTTATGAATGGATGCTGATGGAGAGAGACACATGTCAAATGAGAACCACAATAAATTTTTTGAGACACCAGATTTCAACAATTATAAGTAGCTCATCACGAGTATGACTCAAACAGCAGTAGTTGCTCCTAAAAGGTTGAATCAGACGAAACAGTAACAGTACCTGTAACAGCTGCGTGGCTGTAGCTCTGCTCTCTGGGTTTTTGACCAAACACTGTTGCACAAAGTCCACAAATGACGAGGACCACAGATCTGGGTTTCTGAATGTCGGAGGAGGGTTTGTGGGGATCATGAAGATGGCCTAAGAAACGACAAACATTATTATCAGCCTTTTTATGTGACTGATAATCAGTGTTGTCGGTAACGCGCTACTTAGTAGCGCGTTACTCTAATCTGACTACTTGTTTCAGTAACGACTAATCTAACGCGTTACTATTTCCAAACCAGTAGTCAGATTAAAGTTACTTCTCCAAATCTCTGCGCGTTACTATTTTGTCATTAGCTCATTGTGTCCCATTGACGCACAAATACGTCAAAGCAAATAGTAACGTCGTGTGCCATTGACGCATTAATCCGTCAATTGCCTTTTTTGCTATTTTCACGTTCCCAGATGTCTATTGTATCTAATATGTATGGGGATGACTTGAGACCATATTTTAACGAGCCAGCAGGCGGCAGCATTGCTCTCTGAATGGTTTGAAAACATGTAGGTGCACATGTTGTGCCTCTTTTTTCTCAACTTTCTGGTGATTTCTGGTGATTTCAGTAAAACTTCCCTCTACTCGACGGAGGATTACAGGGGAACGAAAAAAGCTAAAAACAAAATTCTTTTTGTTGAGGAAAGTAGACAGTCCATTCTTTTAGAATATGGTGTCGGATTTCAGATAGTCATAGTACACAATATTCTGTGGGTCTTGAAAAATCAGTAAAAATCATCAGAAATGGCTGGCACTGTGGGAGTACCTGTTCTGAAATAGGCTGGCATTCAATGAGTTAGTGAAAACATATTTGGCTCTTCTTGCGTCGCAAAGAGTGACGAAACGTGCGCGCGACAAGTCACAATTCACGTGGGAACTACGCGAACTACGGTACAAACAACAATGGAGGAAGGAGAAAAGTGTGCGTTCTCTCGCTGGAAATTTGCTCACTATTTTCAGTTTGTGTCAGCTAAAGATGACAATATTAGGGTTCGCTGTACACTCTGTGCTGGTAACAAAGTGTTATCGAGCTTCAAAAACACAACTTCAAATTTGAAGAAACATTTGGACTCGCAACACGGTACTGTTAAACTAAAGGAGAACCAGACGGCAGCGCCGAAGGCTATGGCAGGAGGTCCCCCACCACGCAAACAACAAAAGCTGGACTTCAGTGCAGTAAGTGGGGGAGAGCTGAAGAAGTTGGTTGGGCACTATATTGTAGAGGAAATGCTGCCCTTAAACACGGTTGACTCGCCCTCGTTTCGTGCCTTAATAAACAAAATCCCTGCTGCTATCAATGCCGAGCTTCCTCACAGAACGTGTTTTTCGTCTTACCTGGAGAAGGAGTACGCAGAGATGGAAAGAAACCTGAAGGCCGCGCTGAGTAACGTCGACTTTGTGTCAACTACTGCGGATATTTGGACTGCTAACAACAGAAGCTACATGGGAGTAACGATCCACTGGATCAGTAGATCCACATTAGAGCGCAACAAGGCTGCGTTAGCATGTAAGAGAATTCGCGGTAGACACACATATGATGCTATTGGTGCAGAAATCGAAAATATTCACTCATCGTTTGGACTACTCAACAAAGTAGTGGCAACAGTCACTGATAATGGATCAAACTTTGTGAAGGCATTTAAAGTTTATCAGCGTGTCTTAGAGTCCGATGATGAGTCGGGTGAAGAAGAGTCCACTACTACAGACGAGGATGTCACTTTTTCAGATGTATCAGAAATTTTCTCAGCTGGGAATGGAGGTGAGCTGTTTCTTCCTCCACATCACAGGTGTGCTTCACACACAATAAACTTAATTTCCACAAGTGATGTAGACAAATGTTTAACTACCAATGCAGAAAGCAAGACTGTGTACAGGAGCAGCACAGCAAAATGTTCAGCACTTTGGACAAAATCAAGTAGATCTACCCTTGCATCAGAAATAGTGGAGGAAGTAAGCAAAAGAAAGCTCCTGGTGCCAACATCCACACGGTGGAATTCCTTTTTTGATGCTGTGAAGAGAATTTCAGAAATACCCATGAGTGAGCTCAATACTCTGTGCACCAAGCTGGGAGTTAAAAGCTTCAAAGACAAAGAGTACCAATTCCTTCATGAGTACTGTACTGCCACAAAACCTCTGTCTGTAGCACTGGACATTTTGCAAGGCGACTGTCCTTATGGGACTTTACTGCCCACACTTGAAGTTCTGATGCAGAAGACCCTGGCTGTGAAAGATGACCTCTCCAGGATGACTGCAGGCATTCCAGATGCCATAGTGCAGGTATTTTCCATCTTTAAGCACGTTTTCTTCCATCTTCTAAATTTCTTATTCTTACACTAGTCATGAACATTTAACAGAGTAGTAATTTTCATTGTAAAAGAAGATTAAAACAAAATACATGTCAGCAAGTAACCTAAAACATAATTAAATGTATATTATTGATCTCACATTAGGCAGAACTTCTAATTAGTGGGCCTTGTAGGCATAAACATAAATTTTTTACTGTTTTTTTTTTCAGGCTATACAGACTCGTTTTGCTGATGTGCTAGACGACAAAGATGCCCTTCTTGCAGCGGCCAGTTGTCCAAAATTCAAACTTCGATGGTTGAGAGATGCAGGTAGGAGAGAGAAAGTTAAAGAGCTTCTAACAGCAGAGTGCCGCATCACTTCGCCTGCAGCACGGAGCCCTGCCGGTGTACCCACCACATCTGTCAGCCAAGGTGAGATGGACTTTTTCACCTTTGAGGCTGAGCTAGAGGAGACCTACTCTGCAGAACATGAAGTCATGGACTACCTGAGGTCAGCCTATGACCTTCAGATTCTGCATCAGTTTTCCAACATAAAGAACATTTTCTTAAAGTATAACACTCCAACTCCATCAAGTGCTCCTGTTGAGCGGCTTTTCAGTCTGGGAGGTTTGGTGCTCACGCCTAGAAGAAATAGACTTTGTGACAAGAGGTTTGAGAAGCTTCTGTTAATGAGGTATAACCACTGGTTTTCTGGCCCCACTCCATTGTTTTACTCATAATATGATTAAAGCCTAACATTAGGCCGAAGAAACAAAAGTAGACTTTAGATATTACATGTGGTGGTGGTGTTATATACTTGTTTTGTAAGACCACTCCTAATGCTGTTCCTAAATGTTAACAGCTATGGATGTTGAGTAAAGAAAGTTTTTTAAAGTTTATGTTCAGTGAAGGCAAGTCAAGAGTCAAGACAAACTATTTTATTATTTATGAAAACAAGTCTTTAAGTTAAGTGAATTGAAGGAAGACTGTCTTTATTTTATATTTTATTTTAAACGTATTTATTTTAAGTCAAGCCAGACTGTATATTTTATTTTATAAGAACAGTTATTAAGTTCAACTTAAATTGTCAGAAGATGCATTATTGATGTTACTGATAAAATGCACTGACAATAAATCGAGTATTTGCAAAACCAGTTGTCCTTGTTTGTTGAGGCAGTGGAGGCTTCGTTGGAAGTTGGTTAATGTAACTTGTAAAGTAACTTGCAATGTAACTTAGTTACTTTTAAAATCAAGTAATCAGTAAAGTAACGAAGTTACTTTTTATTGGAGTAATCAGTAATCCATATCGGATTACTTTTTCAAGTAATCTGTGGCAACACTGCTGATAATAATGTACAACGTGACGAACGAATGCTTTTAAACCATGTGGTACAAACCAACAAAAAGCCAACATCATCAACATCAATATATAAAGAATTATATACTATATTTCTAACGAGTTCAGACATTCCAAATTAACTTGTAGAATTTGTTAGAGTACATTAGTCTGCTATGTTGAATGCATTATGTAGAGTTTTAGTATCTGGCGACTCACCCTCATGGGGTGTATGTCTGCGTACGGGGGCTTGCCCTCTGCCATCTCTAAAGCAGTGATGCCCAGGGACCAGATGTCGGCCACGCAGTTGTAGCCGATCTCCTGGATGACCTCCGGGGCCATCCAGAACGGGGTGCCGATCACAGTGTTTCTCTTTGCCATTGTGTCCTGAGGAGAAAACACAACAGTCGCCACAAAAAATGAATAGACAAGGATAGAAGGACCATGTTGTAAAAGGATTTAAATCAAAATCAACAGCTCTCTTTCTCTTTAAGGTGATTAATGTATCTTTTATCTGTGCTATATGTTAAGTCATACAAAACAACATTTAGGGCATCATATCCAAAGTGTTTGCAAAGGTACAGACCACAAATGGACTAATTATAAAAGCAATATACAGATACAACAAAAAATATATAAATAAACGTTTATATAATGTAATAAGTTTTAAACAAAAAGGTTTTGAATTTCTTTATATTCGACATTTTAGAGTCTGTATAAAGGCAGCACAGTTATCCAGTGAGTGTATTGACAAAATGTGAAGCAAGGGAAATGAATGTATTGCTGTATGTGAAAAGTGGAGAGGAATTGTGCAAAAGAGCTTTTAATTGTGAGTTTTGATGCTTGGAAAAAACACATGTAAAAACAAATGCAAGTGGAATTCTTTGGCCTGAAGTTCACGTTCAGAGCTGTATAAACCATACATACTTTTTCTTTTTTTTTTTTTTTTACATCAACTCACAGGTAAGCAAGTTCACCATTAAAACATGATACATGTCGGGGCAATAAATCATAAAACATAGGGAAAATGTCAATTTTTTATTACTATTTGCAAACAATTACTACCTGGTTTGACAAAAGAGGCCCACACATGATGGTTATACTTATAGAGAAGTACGGATTAATACAAGTAAAAAGCAGAAGTCCGGAACAGAATGTGTATGAAATGTGGCGTGTGCTGTGTCATTGTGCGGCTCTTACAGTGAGTTGACCAGCAACCCCAAAGTCGGCGAGTTTGGCCTGGCCCTCTGTGTTGAGGAGGATGTTTCCTGCTTTGATGTCTCTGTGAATCTTCCTCATGAAGTGAAGATACTCCAGCCCCTTCAGAGTGGACTGCAAGATGGTGGCGATCTCCTCCTCTGTCAACTGCACAAATTACACATTTCTAAATGATTTAAATTTGCATGTGGTGGTCTTGTTCTCAATCTAAAGTTTGTTTGTTTTTTTTAATACTGTGAACCTGAAAGAGCAGAGAATGTTCTATGACGAAGAACAATAACAATTTGTCTAGTAGTGGCACAGATATTCCCCAGGTGACCTTTAATTAAAATGTACATTTAAGAGATTTGGATCATGTTATGAAAATAATACCCACTTGAAGTTGTTTGCATTCTCCTGACTTTTAGATGCCATTACGGTCCTGTATAATTTGAGCATAACATAACTAGACTCTTCTTAATGAACACAAACAGGAGAGAGACAAAAGATCACCATCTACTGGTGAAAGAATGCTCACAAGATTAAAGAAAGTCCATATACATTGGAACTTCACGTGAAGTTAAAACAATACATACATACATTCAAAAGTACATTTCCATGGACAATATATAGATGGACAAACATCTTGTGTAATCTTGTGTTCATCTGCCGCTTTGTCACTGATGACCTTTTATTTTCTATGTAACTGGAGTCACAGTCGGCTAATCCAATCAGAGGCAGATCTGGTCTTTTAAAATTACGCCAACAATGTTTTTGTCTATCTTTTTGTTTAATTTTAATCACAATATTTTCTGTCTGTGTTTGATGTATTCATTTTTTAATCTATGATAGTAATTTTAGTTTGAGTTATAACCTTTTAAAGTCACTATGCTGTAATTGACATTTCACTGTGAACACACCCAAATAAAAGGCTAAACTTTTGGCCTTTGCAAATAAAAAGGAAGCCCTGAAGTATGCATGTGTGGTTTTGTTGACTGTATTCATGGGGGGTGCTGTGTTACCGTCTTGTTGCGTATTCGGATGATGTCAGACACGGACCCTGCTCCACAGTACTCCATGACGATCCACAACTCTCGGTTTTTGAAGTAGCTGCCGTAATACCGCACCACATGTGGACTGCAGACAAAAGACGCACGAGTCAGATCAGCGCGTCAGACCAGAACAATACTCAAACATGCTAATACGGCGCAAGTTCGATAAAAAGGTAAGATCACACATGCCATTCTGGATTGTGCAGAAATAAAGCATTACTGGCACGGTTTTGCTCGGTCTTCAACTTATACTGATGCAAATATTTTTCTATGATGTTTATTCAGTTTTGCTTAATTTATAGTAAAAAATATGGCACATTATCAGTATATGATTAAAAAAAAAAAAGCACAGAAAGCTTTTGTTAACTGTGACATTGAATTAAGTTCCTTTATAATTGAAACAAGAATAACAGTCATTTCAGTAGATATGTTCTTTCTGGAGCCTAGTTTTCTTGAATTTTCACAACAAACTAACATTTTTAAGTCTTCTCTCTTAAATTAATATCATAATCACATCTGAGGAAAGTGTACCTAGCTACCTAACTACCAAGTTTGAAGGATTTTGTTTTCAAAAAGATATAAATAATGAATAAGGAGTGAGACCTGTTGCACTGTTGCATGATGGAGATCTCCTTGATGATCTCCTGGAGGTCGGACTCCACTGGCACCTGTTTGATGGCAACAATCTCACCAGTTTCTTTATAATGGGCTTTGTGCACGCAGCCATAAGACCTGCACACACAGAAACAATAATCCAGATAAACATCAATAACTGCACAGATTTATTTCTATAAAAACAAATATACAGTACATTTTTAGTACATACAGTATATAGATACAAAAGAACAATGGGACATGTTCTAGGAGTATTGAGCAATGTCAAGCTGTGAAAGAATGCTAAAGAGGGCTGCACAGTGAATAGCATACATATAATCATTGCAACAACGGCAAGAGCAAAATAAACTGCAATGATGGAGCAGTTTGAATAATTTAGAGTTTGACCAATCAAGTGTGACCTTACAGACTCTGTAAGAGACTGGAAAAAATAAAACAACATTGCAAGAGAAGAGCGAGAATGCAACCAGACAATATAAACGCAGCCGTTCTGAAACGTGGGAGTACCTACAGATGTAGTCAGCAATTTTTTCCAGAAGAATTTTTTTAAATATAAAAGTTGTCAAGTTATCATGTGTTTTCAAATTGTAATAAAATTGACCAGATGCCATAGTCTCAAAAAAAGAATACAAAATATTTTGGAGCGAACCGATAAAAAATAAACGGGATTTGTTCATCCTGATCACACCAATGGGATGCGTTTACCCCCTTCACACTCTTCCTGTTTCTCGCAAGTGCACCCGAGTTATCAAATTATTATCTAAAACCTTAATGGCTGAACGGAAAATGCCAAATTCACGTTTGCCGCCCACTCTCCCTGTTGTGACAAAGAAAAGAAAATTCTGGATGTTTGGTTTGGTGGAGAGGCGAGAGGGGGGGGGGGAGTGGTTTCCAGTTGGCGCTACGGCTAAGCTAACAACATTGCTAACTGCACCATTAAGCTTCATGAGGGACAAGCTACAGAAGCAAAAGCAACTACTATGCAATATCTTATTTGTTTTATGCAAATGGTATTTATTTGTTTGAAGGAAATGACTTTACATCACTACTGCAAATGGCACATATGTTGAATACTTACCCAGTGTGGGACGAATAAAAAAACAAACAACTTATCTTCACATTTCTACTCCAAACTATATCATTGTAAACACTGTTGCCAATGGTGTATCACATGTTCTGAAATCATCAAACTTAAATGTTTCTGTAAACTAGCCCCAATCTTTATACCACACAAACACAAACCCAGTCATTTCAAAAAGCAGCTATTATTATTATTATTGTTATGTAAATTTTTGTGCATTATTACCTGTATGTGATATAACGATAGACTTAAAAATGGATCGGAAACATAAGTGTGAAAGTAAAGTAGACAGTATACTGGTTACATTAGCGCTACATGAATGAATGCTGCGGCCGGTGGAACAGACATGGTTTCTGCTGCAGTGAAAATAGAATGTGCAGCCAATCAGGCATCGGAACAGGAAGTGTGCGTTGAGAAACAGGAAATGAAGAGGGTTTAAGCTGATGAGCTATACAGGCGAGGGGAACACACAGGTCAGACTATACACAGCAAAAAAATCAAATCAAAACAGCAGAAGTAGCAAATAGCAAGCAAGGGAAAACAGTTTCATGTGGTTTCTGAGCAGATGTGGATTAAGCATACACTCTAAATAACGTAACATATTTGACACTATACTCTTTCACAGGATATAGCAGGTTTTTTCAATTATATTTACTTAAATTTAACAGTTGTTATGTCCAGGCATTTATTCTAAAACATTTAGTAGGTCAACCAAATACTTAAATATCCGTGCATGTTCAGTTGAAAAATTAAACTGAACTGTAAATTGTGATAACTGTAAACGCACATAATGTAGGTGTTTTTATGTTTTAATTTTTGGCTACATATCTTCTCATCTGGTTTCTAATCTACACCAGGAAATGGCTCCCACAGTTGATGCCCCTAAGTGACAGAAAGATCATTCGTAGATGAGTGAGTCTCACCCTTCTCCGAGCTTCTCCAGGATATCGAACACCTGCTCCGGTGGTTTGGTTAGACTCTCCTCACTCAGCTTCTTCAACTGTCTGTGGACATGAACACAGACAATAATTACTGTATCCATTTATTCAATAACTAATGGATGGTCAAATACATGTTGGGGTTCAATAAATCATTATACATCATCTGCACATTTCCCTTTCTTACAATAATAATACAATAAAAGATATTCCCAAAAATATCACTATGAAGTCAATTCTCAAACAAAGGACTGAACAATAAATGTGCCGGATTTTTTTAGTTCTGCCCTCAACAGAAAAAATGCAGTTAATCTGGACAAAAGTGAGTACATGGATTGAAAGGACTCCAGGCTTAAAGTGTCATTAGGAAAGAGTTAAGACGGCGTTGTTTTTTGCATAAACCCAATGAAAGAAAGAAAATATCATGGGTTAATAATTCTGTCAGAAATCCTTTCCTCTCAGCTGACAAGAAATAAATGATTGCATTCTGGACGTGATATGGTCCTGATCAGTTTGGATCGAGGATTTTGGTGAAGAAATAGAACTCATAACTCATAACTAACTAGTTAAAATCATCTTAATAAATTACACTATTATCAACATTACTAAGGACTATGCTCACTATTCATTGTCACGTTTGAGAGAACAGAAATAGTCTCAGGGTGCAAAAATAGACTCCTCTAAACAAGAAAACATCTTCAAACCTTTTTTTACAGTGGGATATCAATGGTCAAAAGAATAGCAGGTCAATAATATTTCTTGAAATATCACTTTTAAGACATCAATCAATCACAGCCTGTGACATGTAACTAGCATCAGCTCCATCGCCACAGAATCTTGGTAAATGCAGATAAATATAACACACGCCTGAACCTTAACATTTGAGATGCCTGATAAGAACCTCTTTTTGAATGCTGTGGTCCATCATTTATAAACACACTGGAGGAAAGTGGGAGGTGTATAACAATCGTTTTGCGAGTACTAGAGAAGACTCAGTGGACATAAAAATGAGTCATCTACAATGAAACTTTTGCAGTGTTTGAAAGAAACGGTTCAAAATGATGCACTGTTGCCTCTACTGCAGCCCTACAATGAAACCACAACCTGCTCATGAACAGAGGGAATACAGGAGACGATACACAATTACTAGAACTTTGACGATGTTTCAAATGTTGTCTCTTCTCATTTACAGACTTGACGGTGGTGCCAGAGCAATTCATGCAGATCTGTTTTTATATATCATATTATAACAGGATATGTTACATAGCAGAAAAAGCATGTCTTTAGTATTTCAGCAGTATACACAGGAAACCCCTGGACATACTGATAACTTCCACGGGTGACTTTTACTGACAGCACTTTGGCAAGAGACAAAAGGAACCAATTACTGTACTTCCTACAGACTCTGCGAGGACAAGCACTCACGCTACCTTTATTATTTTAGTAAAAGTGTACTCATCATTTACATTATATTCCTCACTAGATTTATATATTTTGAATCCATCCAATATTTCATCCACTTAATATTGAATAACTTACTCATGTATTGTTATGATCCTAGCAAAACACGAACCAAGCCATTTAATTGAACTACACCAGAATAAAGGCGTGTAATGCTTGACTGATTGTGAGCATATTTGACTCGTTCTTGGCCTGAGGGAAGACCTTCTTTGAAAACCTATTAGAGAGATTGATTCCAAATATTACAATGACATGTGGGTGACATGCATCCAGGCAGTAATACTTTTGCTTTGACAAAAATTGCAATTGCACTGCCAAGGTGAAATGTTTCCAATTATTGTGTTGATAAAGACATTTATTCAAACATCAGATTTAATTACCTTTTTCTATAAACGCATTGTTTACTGTATGTACAAACATCACAATTGTCAAGTCATGAACCCCTGCTTTCATGTTCAACTCTTTGGCTGCCTTCCCTCTTGCTTCTCAGTGATGTGTTTAACCCCGCTAGGATCAAATGGATAATCCAGAGCTCCACATTGTAAATACTCTGGATTAAGTCTTTAATGGGACAAATCCACACAACAGTGACATTCATCCAACACCTGACAGACCCAAGTATTGGGTTCAGCTCTGTGGTTACTGTCACACTACCCCAAAGCAAGGGTCAAATTCACAGCTTGGACGACTCGACTTTACCATAGAATTTTAAACTTGGCACATTTATTCATGTCTCTGAAAATGTGTGGGTAATTGCAGTATGTTAAAAATGCCAGTAATTCCATGTACTTTGTCAATGCGACCTTATAAACTGAGGCATATTTCTCTCTACGTTATAATTGACAGCCATTCACGTATATGATTGTATAGCTGTCAGTAGAAGAATCAATTATATTATGACACAATACACGTTTCTCAGTGAAATCATATACTTGGATATTTAAAATCCAGTTCTCTAAATGCCAGAGCTATTTTTAAAAAGTTTAGTCTCATTTGCACCCTGTGAGCTGCTAACCTCAGACAATTCAATGGACATTACAGATATCATTGGTTTTAGGCTTACCTGCGTGGATGATGCCTCATTTGGACTTTATCTTTATTCAAATCCATGTCGTAGTCTTTAATATATAAATCCAATGCAAATTTGATTACACTTGCAGACCAAAGTCGATGCTAAAAGTATCCCAGTATTAGCGGCTAGGTGGCTAACAGCAGCTAGCAAGATCCAGTCGCGTCTCCTTCTTCACCACAATTTTAACCATTTGTCCTTTTCTTTCCGCGTATGCATGTGGTGAAGATCTGTCCCGGATGCATTGTCCTCTCTAAAGGACTCATCTTTGTCTCGGATAAGGACAACTTCAGACTTGTTTGGGTCAGACTGCATCCACTTGACAAAACCAGGAAGGAGAGCGGCGTGTGCGCTGTAGGAACTAGTGCGAGGAGGCGGTGCAAACAATGAGACATACCACCTTATGGCCGCTAGATGGCGCTCAGAATACCACAGTGGCTCGTAAATTAAAACATTCATCTAGAAATGTTGTGTCTGGGCTATGGATCTAGGTCTGGTGATAGATAAGTAGTAAACATGGAAGTAAAAGAAGAGAATGATAAATACTCAAAATGTGAAAATACTTTGCTGTGCAGCGTGAGTTCTTAAGCGCAATACTGTGAAAACACCACTGATCACCTCTATAAAAAACAATACAAACACAGTAGATATACATTAATAGAATAGTTTATTTAGTTGAACATAACATTGCAATGTTCACATCTGATCAGTACATAACATTCGGGCAGCAAAGGGAACCTTCTTTCAAACAAGGAATGAACAGGGATGAGGAGCTAAAACAAAAACAAAAAAACAAATAATTAAATACTGTTAAAAAACAGATTAAATGTTAAAATCCTATTTTCAATGTCTTACCTCGTTTACTCTCCAGTGGGTCGTACACTTTCGAAGATACCCGCTTCCCGCATGGCATTAAACTCTTTTGTAGCATCATACTGTTTGTAGAAATCAGCATACGCCTTTTTCCTTGGCTCCGTCACTGTGTACTGTGGGACACAAAGTAACTTACTGGTAATTGTGCACAGAGGGGAGAACCTAACCGCAAACCATTTCAAGCTATCAAAAAAGCTGCATCTTACCTTGAACGCAATGGCAGCAACCAGAGAAAGCGTAAAGGCGATGGGCAGATGAAACCTCAGCCGTTTCCCCAACAGGCCCCTCATCACAGGCTTGGGCAGAGACATGATCTTCAGCTGTAGAGCAGATACACCAGCTAACATTATCCTTACATTTTAATCACAGGTTGTTTTTCTAATTTAAATACACATTTATCCCACCCATACAATAATTAAATTCAAATCATTGATATGTATAGTCATGTGAAACTTGCTATACAATGCAAGAAGAATTTAAACAATCTTTTGATAATCTGCTTTTCCCAACAGTCTTGCAATTTAATTAGGGCTGCGCTGCAGCAACAGATGTTTTATCATTTAGTAAACTATTGATTAATAAATTAAATTAGTCATGTAATATACATGACTACATACTATACAACTATACATAAATAGTTGGTAGTTTTGATAAACCCCAGGAGGAGGTTGGCATCTGTAATCAATGTGTCACAGGCGGCTTCTGCTTGTGATATTAGGACCGCTGTAATACCAAATAAAGATTAGATTGTAACAGATTATTCGATCTTTTAAATTGAGAAAAATCTGTAAAACACTTGAATATAACAGGGAACCCACAGTAGAACTCAATCTCAGCTTACACAGGACGCTATTAAGTCTAAAATGTGTTGTAGCTGAGCCCCATACAAGCTAATAATGTAAAAACTATTGGTATTGTATTTGTTTTGGGACACAGGTGACCTTATCGGGGGAGTACGTGTGAGGGCACGGAGCCGTCATTCTCCGCCAAGTCACGTCAGGTCACGTCAGGTCAGCACACCAGAATAACATTTACTGTAAACTAGCAGATGGCACGATAAAGCCAAACAACAAACATCCAAATAAAGAACTAAATGGACTCGTTCAGTTGTTCAGCAAACAACAGTATCCACACCTTCTGATCCTATTATGTGGTTGGAGAAAAATACCCCAAAAGCCCAATTCTGTATTAATGAACATCTAAAATTAAAATTGATGAAAGGACTTATAATAAAGTGAATATTTACATCTGTATTTCTCTCGTTAGCACAAAGCCAAAAGCTACATGTGAGCTAATGTTAGCCTCCTTTAGCTTCGCACAAGTCAAAGCAGGATCTCACAATCAGAACAATCGAACATACCTAGAGTTTTCGTATGAGGTATAGGTTATTCAAAGTCGTTGTTTGTAAAATACGGTTGTGAAACGTGGGCTTCAGGAAAGAAACACTTACTATATTTGTACGACCTTCACACAAGCCGCTGCCGCTGATCTGCTTTAGTTCTGTACCGGAAGTTTGGGAGACAGGAGCCAGCGAGGGACAAAATTCAACCGCTTAGTATGCGGTCTTGAAAAATGCATGATATATATAAGGAAATATTTGTATTCATAGCTATGATTGGAAACTGCGTAGTACATTTCTAATTATCTCATCACTTTTTCAAAAAATAAGTGATACAAAAAATACATACATGACTGCATGTCCGAATATAATTTAGATTTTTATTATACTGTGGATATACTCAGGAAGGACAGGAATAATAGCAGTGTTGTAGATGTACACAGAACACTGATTTGAAGAGAAACAGACTCTTGGATATAGAAATATGGCTTGTTTAGTTCAGCTGCTTGATGTTGTGTACCTTTCAGTCTATCTGCTTTCTGTTTCATTGGCTGTTTTTTGTTGTAATACGTTTTTGCTTTTAAATTCTCACTGCTTGAAAATTGCTCGTGAGATCCAAAAGCAGTCACATTATCTTCCACTGTGTTTTGTGCTTAACTGTCTGAATATAAAAGTCTATTAACTTTTCTTGTTTTGTCCAACAGGCTTTTTACTGGATCTAGATTCCAACAGTTCAAATTCATTCACTGCGTCGAACACCAGCTCCACAGCGGCCTCAGATTTGTGGGGAGACTCCGCGCCTCCCAAGTGAGGAAGTGTTCCCGTTTGTTTTTTCCCTTTACTTTGTGGGAATTACCTTATGCAACATTCTTTCCCCAATTCCGGCGTCCTAGGTTTCTCTGCCGCGCAGGGGGACACACAAGATACTACATACTTGCATTACCGTGTGTTGTTAGTACCCTGGTCAGAAAGCCCCTGTTTTGTGATTACCTAGTGATTACCATTATCAATCCCGAACTCGTTTCTAATGTTGACAAGACAACCTAAACTTTCTGTATTTTACAACGTGTGTGTTAAACAGGTGATTTATGTAGAGATCAATTACACAGACTGCATTAATACACTATGTAGATATTCCTGTATTTGGAAATCAGGGACTTGACTATGCACTGGCTTGATAACAATAATGTTTCAGTGTTGCTCCCTACTATCCTCTAGTGGCCATGTATGGGAACTTGTAGGTCTCCTTTTAGAAATACTGTAATAGTTTATGATACAAGCAAATATCTGTCAACGATTTGATAACAACACTATACACTGTATTTGCATAGAATAGAATATGCTTAAATTAAGTAAGCTCTAGACCTCCTCACAGCTGGATGTAGTGTCCACAGACCTAAAGTGTGGACTACTTCAATTTTTATTCTGAATATGTGTCAAAACGTGTGATCTGAGCCCAACCGCCTGGACATTGCTGCTCCGTGAGTCATTAAGGCCACAGCTACCTACTCCTCAAAGAGCTCCTCTGTCCCTCTGAGCTAGACCTTCTCGTTGTTTTAGTTTATTAACGTGAAAAAATGGAGCAAAACACAAGCTCAAAGTGCTCACGCAGACTACAAGACAGGATTTCTGCCATTTGAAATTTGCAGCCATACGAGGTCTTTGATACAGCGTGGCATGTCTTCCAATTCTTTGTGAACATATACAAAAAAACTCACAAGGATGTTTGACCTTTTGGCAGTCTTTTAAACTCTGCTACATGCAAATTCAGAGTAAATAAATGTCTCCCTCCTTGTTTTTCCTTCATAAAACAATTCAAAGTCATGTTTTATTTGGTCAAGTGAAGGGCAAGGCCTTTTAAAGAATTATTTAAAGCCACTTAGGTCAAAGTTAATGTTGTCAAGGTGAATAAAAAGGAGAAGGAAGGAGGTGTGTCGTATGAATTCGGATGCAGCCTGTCAAAGAAAATAATATTTTGACCACCCCTAATGAACACAAAGTTCACTTGTACCAGATACAGAAAAGACACATTAGACATGATGTAAATTATGTTCTATTTGGGGGAAATAGTCGTAAAATTGTTATGTTTTCTCTCAAAAGCGTTAATCCCGCCTCTGTCAAGGTTTGAGTGAGTGACAAACCAATCAACCAATCACAGCGGCAAAAGCAGCACAGTCGAGAAGCGCGGAGCATTTGCAATCACTCTTGCTCGGGAGGATACATTTATTATGACTGATTATACGATAGTACATGGTCGAGTGGTCAAAAATCTGCATTCATTAGAACATGAAATACATAAAGTTACAGACATTCCCTTTAACATTTCATCAGTTATAATCAGCCCCCATCAGCTCGGGCTCCAACTGTAACTTGCTTTGTACAAACTGTAAAATCTTAATGTAAAAAAAAGTGATATGTGATGTGTGAGTGCGACGTAATACTTATTTGTGATTTAGTGTTCAGGATGATTGTAGTTCGGAAATGTTGTTAGACAATACTGCTGCTAAGGAAGTTATGTCAGTGTTGGATTCTTGTCCTGATGTTTGGATTATTACTGTCTGTAAATTATATTGTAAATGGAACTGAATATATGAAGTAAAACTAAGAATTGAAGTGGTTTTTTGCCTTTTCATGTCTTCCACACGGTAAAAGTCACCCTTGTGAATAGATACAAAACGCCAGAAAAAGCTAAACAAAACTCATTGAAGATTAGTTACGCATTTAATGTACGCATATTCTCAATCCATACCGTAATGTATTTTTTATAAATCATGTGTAAAATGGTGATGAGAGAAGGTGTGCTGCTGCTATAGTAATGCAAAATATATCATAAATCGTGATTCTGTGTCAGCCGCATACATTTGAAACCAGCTCACCCCAATGTTCACAGACAATTAGGTGAAATCGATAAATACGGATCAAATTCAAAAGTGCCCTGGGTGTTGAGCTAAGATTTATAGACTCGTACTCGTGGAGTTTTACGGCTCAGACTATTCCATCCTGATTATTGATAATTGTGGCATTATAGAGCAATAAAATGTGCAAAAATAGTGTAATATGTGAATGTTAGCCTTGAAGACCTGCCTCACCTTTCATGTACTCGTCTTGTGCGCACACAGTCCTGGTGCAGATCTCATTGTTGATCACGTACATGCGCGACAGGCTGTGGCAGGAAAAGTATTACAACTTCATTTGTGATATATATATATGATAATAAATAACTGAATGACAGAGTGTGGCAACATTAACCCTTTAATAGGGATGCACCGATGCAAGAAAAACTGAAGCCGCCAAGAAACATATATTTATAAATAACAAAGAAAAAACATCGGCCGTTGGCCCAAAATGTCACAATCGCTGCATCCCTACCCTTTAATATTCACTCCTTGAAGAAAGCAATGTATTGTTTTCATTTCTGGATTTTCTAAGATGTAGGAGCACACACAAAAATAATTATAATTTTGAGCCCCTGGTTTTTATTGTTGAGGGTGAGCTTTCGAACCCCAAAGCAGAGGGAGGCCGAACCAGTTCAACAAAAGTCTTTAATTAACCAAAAATACAAAAATACTCAAAATGACAGGAGCAGTGGAGACAGGGAGCAGGCCGGCCGGAGAGCAGAGCGAAGACACAAGGACTGGACGAGCACAGGATCTGGAATAGCAACTGGTAAGTAATCCAAAAAGCAGGTAGGTAGAGAAACCCCTGTGCAGCACTACCGATATGACGGAATTATCTGGCAGAGGAGTGATGAGCAGACCAGGTTCAAATACTGAGTAGAGTGGAGTGAGTGGATGCAGGTGTGTCTCGTCAGCAGCCCAGCAGAGACCGGCCACGCCCCCTGTCTCACACATGCTCTGGGAAAAGAACAAAAACAGAATCATGACAGTACCCCCCCCTCAAAGGCCGCCACCCGGCGGCCCACCGGGCTTGCCAGGATGCCGGGCATAGAAGTCCCGCAGGAGATCAGGATCTAAGATCAAAGAGCGAGACACCCACGAGCGCTCCTCAGGACCATACCCCTCCCAGTCCACCAGGTACTGTAAACCACGGCCCCGGCGCCGAACGTCCAAGAGCTCACGCACCGTGTAGGCCGGGTGATCGTCAATAACCCGGGGGGGCGGAGGAGGAACCGCCGGAGGGCTCAGGTCGCTGTGAGAGACAGGCTTAAGAAGGGACACGTGAAAAGAGGGGTGCACCTTCAACGAGGCAGGTAGCTTCAGCTTGACCACCGTGGGGTTAAGAACACAGTCAATCTCAAAAGGACCAATGTACCTAGGGGAGAGCTTCCTTGACTCACACTGCAGGGGAATATCTCTGGTAGACAACCAGACCCGCTGCCCCGGCTTGTAGTCAGGTGCAGGGACGCGACGACGATCTGCTAGCCTGCGATTCCGCTCTGCTGTGCGAGAAAGCGCTGCCCGGACCTCGTGCCATATCCTGCGTGCCCTCCTGAGGTGGAACTGGATCGAAGGTACACTCACTTCTTTCTCCTGAGTTGGGAACAGGGGAGGCTGATAACCGTAACAGGCCATGAATGGTGACATACCCGTGGCGGAGGAGGTCAGAGTGTTGTGAGAGAATACTCAATCCAGGGGAGAAAAGTGGACCAGGAAGCAGGATGAGCAGCTGAGACACAACGAAGGGCAGCCTCAAGGTCCTGGTTAGCCCGCTCTGTCTGGCCGTTAGTCTGAGGATGATACCCCAATGACAGACTCGCGGTCGCCCCGACTGCCCGGCAAAAAACCCGCCACACCTGGGAACAAAACTGAGGACCCCGGTCGGAGACAATGTCTTGGGGAATCCCATGTAGCCTGAAAACATGTAGAACCAGGAGATTTGCTGTTTCGAGAGCTGAGGGGAGTTTAGTGAGGGGAATAAAATGTGCAGACTTGGAGAAACGGTCCACAATTGACAAAATGGCAGTGTTTCCTTCAGAGGGTGGTAGACCGGTAACAAAGTCTACCGCGATGTGCGACCAGGGACGGTGTGGAATGGGCAGAGGACGGAGCAGACCGGCAGGTGGGCGGTGGGATGCCTTGCCGCGGGCACAGACAGAGCAGGCCATTACAAACTCCCTAGTGTCCGTGGTCATGGACGGCCACCAGAAGCGCTGCTTGATCAGTGAGAGAGTGCGATGAACCCCTGGGTGACAGGCCACCTTAGAGCCATGACCCCATTGGAGCACAATAGAGCGGGTAGAAGGAGGCACAAACAGGAGACCAGATGGGCACTCAGCTGGGACCTGAAGGTTCTCTTGGGCCTCCTGCACCACCCTCTCTACGTCCCAAGAGGCAGCTCCGACCACGCACGAGGAGGGTAGGATGGTGTCCTCACTGGAGTCAGAAGTGGTCACAGCGGAGAACTGGCGGGACAAAGCATCGGGCTTAATATTCCTGGATCCTGGTCTGTAGGTCAGCGTAAAGTTGAAGCGACCCAGGAAGAGGGCCCACCGAGCCTGACGGGAATTAAGCCTACGAGCAGAGCGAAGGTAGGAGAGGTTCTTGTGGTCAGACCATACCAGGAACGGCTGTGATGTGCCCTCAAGCCAATGCCGCCACTCCTTGAGTGCAAGAACAATAGCCAGCAGCTCCCGGTTTCCCACGTCATAGTTTCTCTCAGCAGGTGATAGCTGGCGTGAGAAAAACGCGCAGGGGTGCAGCTTCTGATCAGAAGTAGAGCGCTGAGAGAGAACAGCTCCGACACCAGTGTCTGAGGCGTCCACTTCTACCACGAACTGAGCTGCGGGATCAGGATGGCACAGGACCGGAGCAGAACAAAACAGGTTCTTCAATCTAACATAAGCCCGATCAACTTCAGGAGACCAGGAAAATGGAACCTTAACAGAGGTAAGTTTAGTGAGCGGAGAGACCACACTACTGTAATTACGGATGAACCTGCGGTAAAAATTAGCAAACCCAAGGAATCTCTGCAGTTGCTTCCTGTTGGTGGGAGTAGGCCACTCAGCTACTGCCTTTATCTTAGCAGGATCTGATTTAATTTGCCCCTTCTCAATGATGAAACCCAAAAAACTAACAGAAGGCTTGTGGAACTCACATTTTTCAGCCTTAACATAAAGTCTGTTTTCCAATAACCTTTGTAACACAAGTTTAACATGTTGGACATGTTCAGTCATGTTGCGAGAAAATATCAAAATGTCATCAAGATAAACAAACACAAATCTATTGAGCATATCCCGCAAAACATCATTAATGAGGGCCTGGAAAACAGCAGGAGCATTAGTAAGTCCAAAAGGCATGACTAAATATTCAAAATGTCCCAATGGAGTGTTAAACGCCGTCTTCCACTCATCCCCCTCTTTAATCCTAACCAAATGATAAGCATTACGTAGGTCGAGTTTAGTAAATACTGTAGCGTGACTTAAAGAGCTGAAGGCTGAGTCTGAGTGGAAGCGGGTACTTGTTCTTTACCGTAATGTCATTCAAACCCCTAAAATCAATACATGGGCGAAGGGTCTTGTCCTTCTTGTCAACAAAAAAGAAACCTGCCCCTACAGGTGAGGAGGAAGGGCGAATAAGTCCAGCAGCTAGGCTCTCAGTGATGTAGGTCTCCATTGCCTGCCTCTCTGGGTTAGAGAGATTATACAGTTTACGAGTGGGTAACGGAGCACCAGGAATCAGTTCAATTGAACAGTCATAAGGCCTGTGAGGGGGCAAAGAAGTTGCACGATCCTTTGAAAAGACTTCTTTAATGTCATGATACTCTGGGGGCACTTGAGAAAGGTCCACAGGCCTTGGGGGAGAACTAGTCTCAGGGATAGCTTAATGATCTTTATTCAGTCTCAGACTCAGGCCGCCCTTCTGCTCTAGTTCTCCTAGATTTATCGTCAGCGTTCGATACGGTGGACCATGATATTCTTATTGCACGCCTCGAGCAACAAGTGGGCATCACAGGAACTGCACTTAAATGGTTCCAGTCCTATCTGACTGAGAGAACCTTTTCTGTTCAATTTGGCCAGTTCTCCTTTCAAGCGTCCAATTTAAAGTGTGGAGTGCCCCAAGGCAGTATTTTGGGCCCTACCCTATTTTGTCTTTACATGCTTCCCTTAAGCCTGGTTCACACGGCAGGATATTTAGGCCGAGTTAGACCCGATTTACCCCTTACGACAATCTTAAGAAACGCTCCGATTTCCGTAACAAAATCTTACAGATTATCCTGCCGTGTGTGGTGTGTTAAGACTGCACTCGTCGCTCGGAAGGACATCGGGACTACTCCCGATCTCAAATCGGGGATATCCAACATGTTGGATTGTTTTGGCCCGATTTCTTGTCATGTGTGGTGTCCTCCGAGGACAAGCGAGCGCGTTGCCATGACTACGGCGTGTAGCCAATAAGAAGACGAGGTGACAAGCCGGTGAGGAAACACCGGAAAAAAACCAAAACACAGCAGCATGGCTTTGACCATTGCCTTTTCTTTGGATTACGTGTCTTCTCTGTTAACAACAAACTGCACACTATCGCCACTGCATCCTCTTCGTCCGCCATGACTGTTTACTCTGAAGTCACGCTTGATCTCGAGAGATTTTGTGAGATTTCCGTCTGACCTGGGAATGCTCGGGGGGGGGGGGTCGGTTCGTGTGTGATGTTTGTGGCTTGCGTGATCTTGCCGTGTGGCTACGCACCACACACTGCACGACCAAAGTGGTTAGACGCAGGATTTTTAATCTCCCCGTGTGGGGTCTAACACGGAGAAAAATCGGCCGACAATTTTAAAATCGTCTCGTGTGAACCAGGCTTTAGGAGCTATATTTGAGAAGCATAATATTTCCTACCACTGCTATGCTGATGATGTCCAAATATATCTGCCCATTCAGACTAGCAGCTGTGTACAGACACTTGTTGATTGTTTGAAGGAAGTTCAGGAATGGATGCAAGATAACTTCCTTTGTTTAAACAACAGGAAAACAGAAATACTTACCTTTGGGACTTCTGACCCTCTGCTGAACTGTGACAGTGCTATAGGACCTCTTATGGTTTATGAAAAGCCCCACGCCAGGAATCTAGGATTTATTATTGACAGCCATTTTAAATTTGATAAGCAGATAAATGCTGTTCTTAAAACAAGTTTTTATTATCTCTGAGTTCTTAGCAAAGTAAAATCTTATATTCCACATGCCCATTTTGAGAAGGCCATTCATGCTTTTATCACTTCCAGGCTTGATTATTGTAACTCCCTCTATGTCGGCATTGACCAGGCCCAGCTCAGCCGCTTACAGGGAGTGCAAAATGCAGCAGCCCGTCTTTTAACAGGGACAAAGCGCAGGGAGCACATCACTCCTGTTTTGCAATCCCTGCACTGGCTCCCGGTATATTTTAGAATTCATTTTAAAATTCTTATTATCGTTTTTAAAAGTTTTAATAGAATGGCACGTTCTTATTTATATGAACTCCTCCAGCCTCACCTTCCCTCCAGAGCACTGCGCTCTGCAGATCAGCACCTTCTTGTCGTCCCTAGGACCAGGCTGGAGACCAGAGGGGACAGAGCTTTCTCTGTTATAGGGCCAAAGTTGTGGAACTTTTTACCTTTGCACATCAGAACTGCACAATCACTCGAGCACTTTAAATCCCTGCTTAAAACGCATCTTTTTTCTTTGGCTTTTACTACCAAGTAGACAGAGACAAATTTTTCGATTTCTTTTTGTATATACATTTCTGTATTTTATGTGTTTTTATTTTATAATTTTTCCTCGCTGTCTGTTCAGCACTTTGGTAAGCCTAGGCTGTTTTTAAATGTGCTCTACAAATAAAGATTTGATTGATTGATTGATTGATTGATAGCTGGAATGGCTGAATGGAGACAATGGGAGTGGCAGAATAAACTCCAATTAAAAACAGATTGGGTTGACCAGTCAATGTGAGGATTGTGAAGCTTGAGCCAGGGTAGACCCAAGACTATTTGGTTAGATGGTGAGGCAACTACAAAAAGGGAGATTAACTCACGATGGTTTCCTGAAACCAAGAGGGATAGCGGAGCAGTGCGGTGAGTAATATGAGCTAGTAGCCTTCCATCTAAAGCAAAAACCCTTTTGGGATCTGAGAGGGCCTCAACGGGGATTTTGGCCTGGGACACAAACTCAGAGTCAATGAAATTATCATCTGCATCAGAGTCTACTAAAGCCTGAACCGGAACTGAAGTGGAACTGCATGAAATAGTACCTTTGAGCTGCAGGCGCTTTGAAGAGGGGTCGACAGGAGTACGGCTCACCAGTGCCCCCCTTGCGGCTGGCGAGCCCGGTCTTTTGGCCGAGTCGGGCAGTTGAACAGAGCATGACCAGCTTGACCACAGTACATGCAGAGACCCTGGTTGAGACGACGCTGGCGCTCCTCTTGGGTCAAGTGCATCCTTCCGAGCTGCATGGGCTCCTCTTTTGTCCCGGCTCTGGGTTCTCCGGAAAAGGCAGTAGCTCGAGGAACAGAATTCACTGGGAAGTGAACTGGAGAGCTGGAGTGAGGACGAAGGACATGGGCACTGTGCCTGACTGTTCTTTCCCTACGTCTCTCACGGAGGCGGTTATCAAGCCTAATAGATAAAGCGATGAGCTCTTCTAGAGATGCAGTCTCATCTCTTGCGGCTAGTTGGTCTTTAACATCTTCGCTAAGCCCCCGGAAAAAGATGCCTTGTAATGCCTTATCGTTCCACCCACATTCTGCAGCTAAAATACGAAACTCAATGGAATATGTGGATACTGACCCAGAACCCTGACTCAAAGACAAAAGCCTGTTGCTAGCCTCCTTACCCTGAAGTGGATGATCAAAAACCTTCAACATTTCTGCGGTAAATGTGTCTAAGGTGTTACACACAGGTGAACTAGCATTAGCTAACGCTACTGCCCAAGCTGAGGCCTTGCCAGAAAGCAGACTCATGATAAAGGCTACCTTGGACTGTTCGGTTGAATATGTGTAGGGCTGTTGAGTGAAAACTAACATGCACTGGTGAAGGAATTGCTTACATGTCCCTAACTCTCCTGAATATCTGTTGGGAGTGGGGATGAAGGGCTCACGGAATTGTGCGGATTGGAGCTGGACTGGAGCAGGTGGTGGCGGCGCAGGAGCAGACAGCTGGACAGAGTCTGGAGCTTGAGCTTGAGCTTGATTAGCAGCCATGGCTGTGAGCTGAATTGAAACCTCGTTAAGTCAACTTCCAAGTTGATGAATTCCAGCAGTGAGGTCCTTTATCGACTCCATAACTGATGAAATGGCTAGGCCATGTTGCCTCACCAAAGCACCTTGTGCTGCGAGGGCCTTGTTAGCTTTCTCAGCCTCAGACAGCACTTGGTTTAGTCTCTCAGCCTCTGCGGGGTTCATGTTGGCCAGATAATTCTGTTGAGGGTGAGCTTTCGAACCCCAAAGCAGAGGGAGGCCGAACCAGTTCAACAAAAGTCTTTAATTAACCAAAAATACAAAAATACTCAAAATGACAGGAGCAGTGGAGACAGGGAGCAGGCCGGCCGGAGAGCAGAGCGAAGACACAAGGACTGGACGAGCACAGGATCTGGAATAGAAACTGGTAAGTAATCCAAAAAGCAGGTAGGTAGAGAAAAACCTGTGCAGCACTACAGATATGACGGAATTATCTGGCAGAGGAGTGATGAGCAGACCAGGTTCAAATACTGAGTAGAGTGGAGTGAGTGGATGCAGGTGTGTCTCGTCAGCAGCCCAGCAGAGACCGGCCACGCCCCCTGTCTCACACATGCTCTGGGAAAAGAACAAAAACAGAATCATGACATTTATTTCATTTTAGGCCTTTATCAAATGGTAAAAAGGAAACCATTAAAGGGGTAAGATACTGCTATTACTCATTTTTATTTATGGTGTTTTGGGTTCTCAATTATAAGGTTTGTTTTTCCTATTATTATTTCGGGACAGAGACGATACATAAGTGCTGTAGAAGATGTGTGACCTGTAGAGACAGAAACCTCCGATGCATTTCTTGGCCGGCCGATGAACAGAGTACATCCTGGTGCAGGGATACATCTCCTCCCTGCAGTCTACAAACCAGAGAGGGTTACGTTATACTGTGTTGTCCTCCTGGGGAAATGTGCCCTTAGCATTTGACCCATCCTTCAATAGTACTAGGGCATGTCCGTAGCAGTGGTGTCTACAGTGCAGCGCCACAGGACCCAGTCAGAGATTTATATGGGTGCATGTTTTGGACCCACCCAGAACCATGCATACTCCGCATAGAAAGGCTGGGCCTACACAAGATCTAACCCACAACCTTCCTGCTGTGAAGAATGCAATACATACCCACTTAGACAATGTGCCTCCACAAATGAAATAAGACTACTGCAAACGCTAAAAAGTAAAATGGTTTGATCATTGTGGTGTTTACTTCAGTATTTACCCACGCGCCTCACTTTGGGCATCCCTGATGTCAACAATAGCGGTCTATTGTTCCCTTTGCCACATGTGTTGGAGCGTACTGATTAAACGCAACTCACCTGAAGGTAAGGACCCAGGAGCCTCTGTGCTCTCTGAAATGAAACAATTATTCATTATTATTCTTGAACTTGAACCTTTCAACATTTCGCCACATTTCAGGCTTCAAACATAAAGATATAAAAAATAACATTTTTTGTCAAGAATCAACAACAAGTGGGACACAATCGTGAAGTGGAACTAAATTTATTGGATAATGTAAACTTTTTTAACAAAACAACATATATTTAGATCTTATATTCCAAAGTGATGTGAGTTGTTCAATTGTTGTTGTTTGATTGTGTTTCTTTGTGTTATAGTTTCATGCATTTTTCACCATATTCTGTTTGTTCTGCACAAAAGAGAGGCTTCAGTGCTCATAAAAGCTCAGTATCACCTACCCACAATCTCTGCCCTTTTGTCAATTTGTGATTCTGACTCCGAATCAAACATATTCAAATGTTATCAAATTTAAAAATAAACAAGTTTTTATTATTAATGACTTTTGCAGCATAAAATGAACAAGATGTGTGCCAAAGCCGTGATCTATGTGTGGTTTAACACAAAATGCCTCCTAATACCAAATACATCTCCCTTAAACGTTGTATTTAGTTCCTAATTATTAACACACCCAATATTTTCAAAACAATGTTGAGTGCTGAAGTCATTTAAAGTCATGTATTTGCAGTGTTTTTAAATATGACTTATGAGGAAATGGGAGGAGGGGGGAACATTACCGGTCTGGGCCCCAGCTGTGAACACTGACGACCGCGGACCACATGTAAAAGGAAAAGCAGTTCACGGCATTAAAAAACAAGCACTGGGACTGTGACTTGGGCCTAATTAAACCCGAGGATTGGTGTTTTGGATGGGGTTACCGTGGAAAGCGCAGAGGAGCAGGACCACTGGGAGGGTGGCCATTCCCGCGACTCGTGAGGGCAAAGGTTTATGAGCCAGAGGAGGTCTAGAGGAAGAGAGTCACAGAGAGGAACTGTTCAATATCCTCTCCTCATTTTTATACACTGTTTATTCTGTCAGTAATTGCCCCCACTTGTAAAAAATCCCCCACATTTTGCTCAAACCTGTCGGAAGTTATGTCATTAAAGTTGTGTGTCTTCTTTAAAATCCTTTAAAGATACACAAAGTTTTCTGATCCAGCCCATCTCTTTGCAGGCCTTTGTATATTTATTTCAGTAGATGGCATTGAATGGATGTTTTTACGGCTCTAAAACCAGTTTAATGTCTTGCCCTTCGACAGATACAGTATGCATGGGCGTCGGACTGGGGGGGTAAAGGGTACCGAGTACCCAGGGCCCAAGGCGGGGAGGGGTCCTCTAAAGTGTGTCTTTATATTTATATGTATTAGGCATTGTGGTATATTCATATTATTACAATTTTAATGAAGGGGGCCCTGTATAAAAATAACTAACGTTTTAACCTCAGTTTTCCTCTAAAAACAAATTTGTATGCTATATCAGGGCCCTGCCACCCCCTTACAAAAGATCAAATGGTACGACCCACATGTGCGCTTGTTGCTGTGTTGCTGCTGCTGCAGCGAGTTGACTTGTTTGACAAGCAGAAGCGGGAAAAATAGAAATGTCTTTTCCAAAGAAAGGAAAATCAGGATTTCAGACAAGAAAAGAAAGACAGGACAGGGAGAAAAAGTGTAATGAGGGCAAGCAATTGCTTACTCAGTTCTTCCACACGAGAGGTGAGTATATAGAGACGTGTTAAGGCCACATCAGGAGAAAACCGAGAGACATTTGTTTCTGTATTCTAAACTCACGGAGAGCTAACAGTGTGCCGTGTACGTGGTAAACAAAAAACACGTTATCCAGAGTGACACACACAGACGCGCAGCTGTAAAGGGAGCTCACACACACTGCTGTCCACTTCTCCTTCAAAGGCAGGCAGCAAAGAGTTATTTTCATGTACAACCCTGTACCCTATATTCCCACTATTGTCATAATCTGTCCGTCCGTGAGTCTTGCAGTCATAAGTCACGGGTCACTCACTGGCCTCTGCATTGGATCATCTGGTTATAACCATACAAATCACACGCCCCGCACCGATTTGGAGTTTTCTGGTGACATCTAGTGGTCAAAATAATGTAAATAAGTCTAATGGTCTAAAGGTTTCTAGCTCTACAATTATCTTAGTGTGTAAACAAGGGTGAAATGAGACTTTCTGGTGTGTAAACTATTGCTTTTAAGCCAGAAATGACAACTGACAATCACAGCCCAGACCATGCCCAACTGTAAGCCCCCCTTCTTCTCCACTGGTGCCATTTTTACAGAAACATTTCAAATGTTCATGTGGGCGGAGTAAGGCTAGGCACAGGTGTTTAGTTGAAAATGGAATAGGCTTATTTCACATTTCCAAACATTCAGTCACCTTTGGAGCTGCTCAATACAATACACAAAATGCAGCTAGAAAGTATTTTTGGGGAAATTTGTATTGGCTTGAGAATCTTTTGTACACTTCCAGTGACTGTTGCAGGAGGGGAACGTTCTTTCAGTAAGCTTAAACTTGTAAAGAACTATTTAAGATCCACAATGTCCCAAGAGAGACTGAACAGCCTTGCAATACTCTCCATAGAAAGTCAGTTGGCCAAAAACCTGGGGCCGTATTCCTAAAGATTCTTACTGCTAAAAGTTGCTCCTAGTGGCCAAATTCTAAGAATTTTCTTAGAATCTTGACCAACTCTTAGAATTTCCCCTAAAAGTGAGGAGTAGCTCCTAGTTAAGATAAAAGCTATTCCTAAAAAATCCTAGCTCTTAAGAGTGCTCTTAAGGGGAGATCCCTTAAGAGTTGAGAGGAGGACTTTTAGCGACTTAAAAGTTCCCTAAGAGCACAAAATGGTGGACGGTGGAGACAGGAGAAATATTCTATACACTGGATGACAGTGAATCAGTGAAACGCTACAGATTCAAGCAGGAATCATGTTTGTGGTATATTTAAAAGTCAATCATGTGACCAGCTTCTTATTGGCTGGTCAGCAATAACACCTCATCCATTTTACCTTTGTTACACAAAAGTAAGTAGAAATGGTAAAAGTTGAAAGAGAGGAAAAAGGGGTCCTAAATTGTCACACATTCAGTACGAATGAAAGAATACTTTATTTTGAGCCATGGCAAACAAGAAAAAAAAGGACAAAACAAACAAAACAACAACAGAATAGAAGTACAAATATACAGTTTTGTTTTATTAACAACAATCCAGCTCAAAAAGGAGTGGGAGAGGATAAGACTTTAAAGCTCCCTTGTACTTGATTTGTACATTTCGGGTCACACTGGATTACAAAACCATCAAGCTACATTGTTGTTGTCATTATTTTCTGAGTGCGGCGCATGCGTGCTTTAACAAGAGGCGGGGCGATGACGCAAGCGTCTCAGATACATTGCGGAGAGGCAGTAACCACGGAGCGGCATATACGGAGTTTTGAAATCTTTCCACTCTGGGACCTACTTTCAAAAATGTTCGTTTACACCCCCCCAAAACGCCGGCCTCGTTAAGGCCCTGTCCACACGAAGTCAAGCTCAGGCCTAAACGCAAAAATACTTTATCAATCCAGTGTATCGTCCATACGAGGCCAGCGTTTTGGGGGGGTGTAAACGAACATTTTTGAAACTAGGTCCCAGAGTGGAAAGATTTCAAAACTCCGTATATGCCGCTCCGTGGTTACTGCCTCTCCGCAATGTATCTGAGACGCTTGCGTCATCGCCCCGCCTCTTGTTAAAGCACGCATGCGCCGCACTCAGAAAATAATGACAACAACAATGTAGCTTGTTGGTTTTGTAATCCAGTGCGACCCGAAGCAACAGTTCAACCTCATCGTCCGTCCATACTAATGTAGTACCAGCTCGCCCACTCGCCATGTTGTCTGTTTACAAAATTCTGCGCATGCCAGTTCCCGTCACGGAAGTTTGGGCTTGATCCCGTCATTGCGTCACAGCGCCACCAACAGGTCTGGCATAGTTTCACAGCGTTTTCAGGCGTATTGACTACATTCATATGGACGCACACATTTACTGAGCTAACTCCGTGTTTACAGAAAAAGTTTCTGAAATTATAAGCGTTTTGTCTTTGTGTGGATATAGCCTAAGCACAATGAGCAGCCAAGAACACGGTCACAATGGTGGTCAGACACTCCCTGGACTTAACACCTCCTGAAGATGGCCCGACACACGGACCTCAGGACAGTGCCTAGTGTACGCTTCTTAGGGATCCTCTCTAGTTGTTTGGGGATGCCCGCTGTGATGATGTGTGGGTCGGAAAAGGCTATCAAACGCAGTGCCTTTTTGGAATAAATTTGGCGCAGGTCTTTGTAAATTTGATTTGCCACGTCCTCAATGTTGTGTTCATCAGGTTTCATACGAACATTGCACCTATCCTTAAATGTCTGCACATGTCCAAAGAGCAACATGGAACACTCTGCCAGTTTATGTGGGTTTCTGGTGCCAAACACCAGAGCAGACAACTCAAACACCAGGTTGGACCAGTCAGAATTACTCCACATGAAGTCTTCATGGTCCTGTGTGGCAGCCCTTTGCTCAGCTGGTATGTATTCTTCTGGTGAGGGGGCTTTCTTTCTCGCTTTATAGTCCAACCACGCCCTGTACACCATGTCTGGTGTCTTGTGTGCTGTCTCTGATTTTAGAGATGTGTTGGTCTCATCAAAAGACTCCAATGAGGCTCTTTCCTGGATAAAGCCTATTTGTTGTGGCATGCTTACCCTTTTCAGGATGCAGTCTGTGATGATGGCGGCGCTGAACTCAGGTTCCACCATGATTGTGAATAGCATCCACTCCCCAAGGTTTGCAATCACAGCTTGGTGTATCGCATTAGCTGCTTCTCTGATGTGATGCAGATCAGGTTTGACCCGAACAATACATTCAGATTTGTGTTGCTCCACATACTTCAAGAGAAGCTGGAAGAGTTGCTCTATATTCATTTCCTCTGAGGTAGCCAACACCCGAAAGCACACTTCTAGCAGCAGGTAAGACCAATGCTGGTCGTTCCATTGGATTTCCACCTGTGAAGCGGCTTCCTGGTCCTTACATAGTGGTCTCAGCAGCTCCTTAGACTTGTTCTCCTGGCCCTTGAGCAACATTTCCGTAACAGCCTCTTCAGCGATGTATTGAATTTGTATTATGGTGTTTTTGGACGCCATTGGTGGAGTCACTTTCCTGGTGTCAGAGCTGACTTTCATCTCTGTAGATCTGGTTTCATTCTCAGAATCCGAGCATTCACTTTCCTCCGACACTTGAGGACCACGTGTGCTAAAGTCTGTGCTGTGATGGCGCACAGCATTGGTCTGCTGTGCGACATCAGGCAGAGGCTCCGAGTAATGTTTCCACATTCCTGATCTCTGGCGAAACGTAAAAGGGGTTTGATCAAGTGCATCATTTTGACCAGATGTTCTTTGGGGGGCACGTATGAGGTTTTGGGCTGTATTTCACTGTGGCTCTGCCCAGCGTTGACACTGCTACACACTACTGCGCTCAAGGCCTTGAAGAGCGGAGCACACGCGTCGTGTGAGGTGCTCAATAGGAAATCAAAGATATCCGTCAGACAGGGCTCCAGAGCTCTGCTGATGTCTTCCTGTGACACCAGGGGGCACTCTGGTTGACTCAAGAGGTCCAAAATATTATTAGACAGAGTGTCAATTATTTCCAATAACATCTCTGCCAGGACTTTCTTGGGCTTTGTCATCTGCAGGGCCTGTTTCCAGTACCTCAGTGCAACAGACTTTAGTTGCTCTGTGGAGATCTGAGAAACAATGTCATTTGAGACGCAATCCCCATCAAAATCCCGCATACTGCTTTTCTTAAAATGAGAAATACAACTCAACTAAATAAACTTTATCTTAATAATAAGCCGACTTATGTTGCTTCCGCTTCCCTCTCTCCCCCCTCTCTGTCTGCGTCTGTCTGTCTCTGTTTGCCTCTGTCTGTCTCTGTCTGTCTCTGTCTGTCTCTATTTCTACCTCCTACCTCCGTGTCTGTCCCTGTCCTCTCCCTCTCTGGTTGAGTACCAGTGAACTCAAAGGCTTGCCTTCTAAATGACATAATCCTTTATGATGTCACTTAAGCGGAGGTTTCCATGGCAACGTCTCCATGGCAACGTTTAAAGACCATAATCTATCCACCTATTCATTGATTGAATGAGTGAGCATACATTTTAGAACTTAGTATTTTCTAACGCTTGCCATAGGAAAAACGTAATAATGAAGTTTAGCTTTACAGATTGTATAAATACTGTTACGTTTTTGCACTGTAAGGCCAACAGAAATCATCAAAATGTGTGAACAAACAGCGTTAGCATTGAATTTGCAATGAAAGTAATACTTTTCATATACAGAAGAGGGCGCAAGGCCCACATAATTAAATAAGTCATTCAGCGCCACAGTACTAGAGTAAGCACGGTATTAATTAGTTCAAATTGTTTCGACAAAGAATACATTGTCAGAAGTAAATTGTATCATAAATTATTTGACCAACCCATGCAGAGCTCTCAAACCTGACATGACATTTCGTCCACCACGGCTTCATGACTGCTCCTTTCGATTGCAAACGTGCAAGGCCAGGCCACAGACACACGCTCCTCTCATCGCGCTCCAGCGGCTGTATGTTGTACACAGGAAACTTGATCCCTCCAAAACCAGCTTGTTCTTGGCCCATAGAAATATTGCCATACATAGTTTTGGAGTCAGGGATACACCAAACTCCCTCTGGCTCTCACCTCAGAGTGGGCCTGGGCACGCAGAGGTGCAGAGACACCCATCAGTCTGCCGCTGACATATCGGGGCTAAACTCACTGCGGAGGGGGTGAGTAACAGCAGGGCTGAACTGGGACAAAAAAACGGCCCGGGCATTTTTTCCTTCTTACCGGCCCAGGCATGTTTTTGTCACGTTTTTTACAGTTTGTTTATACCAGGGATCGGCAACTCAAAAGGTTCAAAGAGCCATATTTGACAAAAAATACTAAAAACATCTGTCTGGAGCCGCAAAAAAATAACAGCCTTGTATAAAGCTTATATGAAGGTTACACAATGTAGCTACATTAGCCTATTATCTAAATGACCAAGTAAAGGCTACAAATACATGATTAGCATTCATGATTGTCAAATGTGTGTTTTCACTGCAGCGTGTCCTGAGAGAATGACGCACCACGTGATGACTCTGCTTTGACTTTGACTTCCATTTTTTTGCCTTCATGCAACTGTAGAAATACAGTAAATAAATCTGCTTTTTGGCTCAAAGGTCACACACCTGCACTGTCCACTCATATCGATTACGTCACAGGCTGAAGTTTGCTGGAGCTGAATGTCCTTAATGGCCTTTTCTTTCACAGTCTTTGCGGAGGTTTTTGAAGTCTGAAAAATGTGCTCCGGATTTTGTATGAAAGAATCCTTCACGTAATCCCTGTGAACGGTATTTAGTGCTTCATTGTTCCTCGTGTTGCAACAAAACTTCCTATTACATCGCAAACATGAAGCAGTCCTTCCTCATTGACTGAAAGCAAATGTTCAGTCTTGTTCTTAGTCCAGTCTTATTATCGACTCGTTCTCTTTTTATCTTTGGGATCCGTGCGCACACGCCGGTTTGTTTACAGCAGCGGCCGTCTGCCGCGGGGCCGCGCCACAGGATATGACTCACTACGTTGACAGAAATGTTGAAATTGAATATTACTTATACACATTTTTACAGCATTGAAATACGTTAGGAATGTTTTTCCTCCTACAGAAACCACATTCAAACTAGGAATAAAATATAGCCCTCCCACTCCATTTTCAGACATTTTTGAAAAGGCTCCAGGAGCCACTGGAGGAGCACTAAAGGTTGCCGACCCCTGGTTTATACAGTATGTGGAAGCATACTGTAGAGGATCAGGATGTCTACAGTTTCAACAAAAAAATAAAGTGCAATAGTCTACATTACAAGAGAGTAATAAACATGTCTCAGAGTGAGGGAGGTGGGCACAGACAACACTGTTGTTTGTTACAGGGATGAGAATTGGTCAAAAAAGTCTGAAATGCATAATGTCAGCCATTGGCTGGCTCTAAATCTGTTTAATTTTTTCACAACATTTTACTTTTGGGCTCAAACATGAACTTTTAATGCAATGGAAAATTTAGGCACCCGAGCTTTAATTTAGTCGCACTTCGAGAGGAAAGGGGAGACGCGGACTGTTTCCTGCAGCTGTGTATTTATTGGGTGCACAAATTACGCAAAGACACGCATGGTCCTGTGCACGTTTATGGTCTTGGGTATATGGTCACGTTGCGGCTACGCGCTCACCGTGTTGTGTTGTGAGCGGCTCCCGGTGAGCGGTTCCCGCGTCCAGCTCAGAGCCGCTGGATGCCGGAACACTGCGGCCGCTGAGGTGGTAGAATCCCGTTCCAGTACATACAGCAGGTGCCCCGCGGACACGCGCGCCCCCTCGAACAGTTCTCAACGGATTTACACTTTTCACAAACATCTTTTTTGTATGAGGCAAACAGACCGGCCCAAATATGGGCATCGGCCCTTCTGGCATTGCCCGGTACGCCCGATGGCCAGTCCAGCCCTGAGTAACAGTAATAACAAGGTCATCCGGGGGAGCCCGCTGACAACTTGACTGATGGAAGCAGTGTAAGCAAAACAGAGATGGGTCAATCTTTTCAAAGAGTATGCTTGTACAGCTTGTAATCAAGTATATATTACATCCAAATTATATTACTGAATAAGTACAAATTGCTGTGTGACTCTTATTAAAGCTGGGGTACATAACTTTGAAAGCAAACTAATAGGAGAAATTAAAAAATGTTGCTCGCACTAAAAATTGTTTTAGAGTGAACACATTTTACTCAGCCAATGAGCTCCCTGAATGTGTGAGACCCATGATAATTAACATGTATAACAATTATGCTGTAATAATAACACCTCACCCACCTCCTATTTGTGTGTAAGTTTTTATGTTAAAGTATAAGAACATTAGCATATTTTTAGACAGAAGAAACTCAGGTGCATCTTACATATTATTGTATATTGCCGTTCTCTTTGTACCGCCCCAAAACACCTCTCCATCGACTTCACAAAGGCAGCAGTCACTCCTTGGGGTGTATGCCTGCTGCAAGCCACAATCCTACTCGGCCTCAGAGAGACGCTTGCCGTGTGTGGGGGACATAACTGGCAATTGCATTCAAAAAACTTCTCTCCATCTGCAAAATTTATAAAGCAACTCACCCTCAGTTCAAGATAAGATTTATATTTCAAGTTTTTATTAAATACTTAATTTTTTGTTGTGCAGTCTGATTTCCATAACAGTTGGCAGAGGTCCATCTGTGGGGCTTCATGAAGGTGGGTGGAGAGCGTCACAAACAGTTATAGCAAACATACCAGATAGTAAACACATGATAATCTCTCCACTTGTTTATTGGTGCACAGTTATGCAGAAGTCTTATCCTCTCTGCCCTCGCAGTGACCCAGCATGTGTGTCCTGCTGCTTTTACGATCAGCTCGTTTGACAAGCCTTTGATTTATTTTTATTTTTTATTTAAATCACATAAAACAGTCAGGCAGAGCTCCCTGTCATGCCAAAGACGTATTCTCCTGATCGGGATGGACGTATCACTGCTTAAAAATAACAGGATAAAAATTGTTTATGGTAATGGTCTCATGTCATGTAATCAATAACAGAGTTTTCATTGAACATCACAAAGTGAAGCTAAATTTAAAAGATAGCCTTCTTGAACAAATATTTCTTTAGGGAAGCAACAGTTAAGGGTGTGGGGGTTGTACAACATCATCACCTAAATTAATATTCAGTATTAAGTAAAGTGTCAGAAAACTAGCAAGCATAAAGTAAATAAAGCCATAAGCAGAAGGACTTTAACTACTACTTGAGGGTTAGTGTTATTGTGTACTTATTAGTTAGTTAGTGTGGGTTAGTGTACTTATTATTTCTTTTAGAATATGAACCAATGCAAAGGAAGGTTTCTCACCCATCATCTGTACTTCTTAGAAAGTTTTCCCGACGTTTCGTCCTCAAACTTGCGGACTTCTTCAGGGAATTAATTCTCGGACCACGCGTTGGAGATTTATAACCTATGGGTGTGGTTAGCCACACCCTAATCCTGATACTAACTCATAAACAATCTAAGGTCTGCTTGATGTAGAAGGGAGCAGATCTAACGACCCTACTGAGGCTAACGACCCTAACTCCTTAGCATGTCACTGACCTATTGTCTGCTGGGATGCTCAAGTGGAGTGCAGGTCTCACCCCTCCTAACTCATTAGCATGTCACTGACCTTGTCCCAAGTTAGGGCGTTGTTTTTAGGATGTCGTCATAGATGCGAGGCAAAACAAATCTTAACCCTCCTCCTCTGTTAAGAGAAGGTTTTTGTTTCTCATTGGATTGTGGGGGCTTCGCACACTCAAAAGTGCGAAGCCCCCACAATCCAATGTCTCATTAGATGAGCAAAAAGCATTATTGGCGTTACAAAAGGATGAGAGTATAACTATTTTACCAGCTGACAAAGGTAGATGCAGAGTTATCCTCAACACCTCAGACTATGAGGCCAAAGTTAATCAGTTACTCTTGGACACCAACACGTACCAGCCATTGAAGAGGGACCCTTCCAGTGGGTTTAGGAAAAAGATTATAGACTTCCTTCAGAGCTTAGTGAAAGAGGGCATTATTGAAAAACCACTATATTACAGACTTTACCCAGGAGACACCATCCCCAGTATTTATGGACTCCCAAAAATACACAAACAAAACTTTCCACTTCGGCCTATTGTATGTAGCATAGACTCTATCACCTACAACCTGGCGAAACACCTCAAAACCATTCTGGCTCCTTTGGTGGGTAACACCCACCATCACATAGAAAACACAAAAGAGTTTGTAAATAAAATAAAACACCTCCAGTTTGACACAGATGAGACAATGGTCTCGTTTGATGTGACATCGCTTTTTACGTCGGTCCCTATTACAGAGGCGGTGGAGGCTGTAAGAGAAAGCCTACAGAAAGACGCTACACTAGGGGAGAGAACGAAACTAACAGCTGACCACATCTGTGAAATACTTCATGGCTGTGCGATGGGCTCCCCAGTCTCTCCTATAGTGGCCAATCTGTATATGGAGAAACTGGAGGAACAAGCCCTGGCCTCTTACCAAGGGACAGCGCCAAGCCATTGGTTTCGATATGTAGACGATACATGGGTTAAGTTAAAGAAACAGGAAGTGGAACCATTTTCAGAACACATTAATTCGGTGGACCCTTTTATAAATTTCACTCGCGAGGATGCTAAGGAGAGTGAACTCGCCTTTCTAGATTGTAAGGTCATCATCCTGGAGAACGGACAATTAGAGACTGAGGTCTTCAGAAAGTCCACTCACACTGACCAGTACCTGGCCTTTGATTCAAATCATCCGCTACAACACAAACTCGGGGTCATTAGAACGCTTCAACACCGAGCCCACCAGGTCCCCACAAGCTCGGAGGGAAAGAACAGAGAAACCAAACATGTTCAGAGAGCACTTTCCAGATGTGGCTACCCCAAGTGGTCTTTTACTAAAGCCCAAAGGACGAGAAAGGCCAGAGACACAGTCCAACAGACAGAAGAAAGTAGGAGAAGAGGGGTGTCCTTACCGTATGTTGGCGGGAGTTTCAGAGAAACTACAAAGAATCTTTAGGCAACACAAAATCCCTGTGTATTTCAAACCTTTCAACACGTTAAGACAGAAATTAGTGCATCCCAAAGACAAAACACCCAGACACAAACAGAGCAATGTG